AGAAAGGCAGTTAGAACAGAAAGCAATTCAGGAAATAAAGAAAAATCCAAAATATTTCTTCACATATGTGAAATCAAAAGCAAAAACCACTGCAAGTATTGGACCTATTCGTACAAGTGAAGGTTCATACACGGAGGATGACAAAGAAATTAGTGAAATCCTAAAAAAGCAGTATGAGGACATGTTTAGCACTCCAATAAACAACATGAAAGTGGAAGATCCAGACAATTTCTTTATGCGGGATATTCAAACCCCTGTAAATATAACTGATATCAACACGAGCGCACTAAATTTTGAAAGAGAAATTGAAAACATGCCCATGCACTCGGCCCCAGGTCCAGACTCATGGAATTCAATATTTATAAAGAAATGCAAAGTGCCGGTAGCACAGGCACTCAGTATAGTGTGGAGGACGAGCTTGGACACGGGGGAGATACAAGATGCACTTAAAGTAGCAGACATAGCCCCTCTACACAAGGGAGGGAGCAAAGCATTGGCAAAGAATTATAGACCAGTTGCACTAACATCGCACATCATAAAAGTATTTGAGAGAGTGACTAGGAGTCAGGACACCAATTTCATGGAGACCAATGACCTTCACAACCCAAGCCAACATGGATTTCGAGCGGGAAGATCGTGCCTCTCACAGCTACTTGAGCACTACGACAAAGTTACTGAGGCATTAGAAGAAAAACAAAATGCTGATGTGATATACACGGACTTCGCAAAGGCTTTCGATAAATGTGACCATGGCGTGATAGCACACAAAATGAAGTCAATGGGAACAACCGGTAAAGTAGGACGCTGGATACTCAGTTTTCTGTCAAACAGGACTCAGCAAGTAACGGTCAACCATATAAAATCTAGTCCAAGTGCAGTTAAAAGCTCTGTACCTCAGGGTACAGTCCTTGCACCGCTGCTTTTCCTTATTCTCATATCAGATATAGACAAAAATACAAGTCACAGCTTCGTATCATCCTTTGCAGATGACACAAAAATCAGTGTGAAAATTATCTCGGCTGAAGACACTGAAAAACTTCAAGCTGATATTAATAAAGTTTTCGGCTGGGAATCAGAAAATAACATGATGTTTAACAGTGATAAATTCCAGGTACTCAGGTACGGTAAAAATGAGGACCTTGACCCTCAAACCGCTAGGGGCCCAAATGGAATTCACACCCACAGGCGCAACAAAAAAAAAAAAACAAATCCAAAAAATTCTTTCGTCTTATAGAAGTGTTCATTTTTGTTCCCTGATCACAGAAAAAATAACAAAAAAATCGTAGGTGGCATATTTTAGCCACAATAGGGTAGGGAAGTGTGGCAAAACAGGAGCATTGGCAGAGCCTTCGCCAGATGAGGTCTACTCCGCCCGAGCTGTCAGACGGCAGTTGCCACAAATATTTTTACCTAATATATTATATAAATTACACAAATATATTACCTAATTATTTCAATGTCTCTGATTGATTTTTTCTTAGTTTTTTTGCAGTATTATTATTCCATACAGTGAATTGTGGTATATTTATATTATAAATTCTCATTGGCATTCTCATTGACCACAAGCTGAATTTCCAGGGACACATTCTAAATATATCAAAAAAAGTTTCAAAAACTGTGGGCATTCTTTCTAAGATCAGATATTATGTACCACGCCCTGCTCTGGTGACTCTCTATTACTCCCTTATCTATCCTTATCTCAACTATGGTATTTGTGCTTGGGGTTCTACTACCCAAAATCACTTACGTCCTCTAATTACCCAACACAAAGCCGCTATTAGAACAATATCCAACTCTGGCCCCAGACATCACTCGGTACCCCTACTCAAATCTCTTAATATGTTAGATATTAAGTCACTGCACATTCTCTCATGTGTATTATACATATATAAAACGCTAAACTATAATGCCAATCCTGATCTTAAAAGCTTCATAGAAGGTTGTAACAGAACCCATGAGCACCACACCAGAAATAAATACAGTTTTGATATTCCTAGAGTACGTCTTAATCAAACTAGAAATGCTCTGCAAATCAAGGGGCCCAGAATGTGGAATGACCTTCCCAACCATGTTAAAGACTGTACCTCTCTCAACCAGTTTAAGATAAAAACTAAACACTACCTAATAAATTCCCTGTAATCTACCTCACTCCTCTATTGTCAACCCATGTCTGTTATTTTCTTTTTTTTTTTCTTTTTTTTAATCAACACTGTTTGTCAACCTATTGTATTTGTGCTGCTTTTTCAGTCATGTTCCCCCTTTTTTTTATCTTTATTTGTATTTGTTCTCAACATCTTTTATTCTTTATGCTCAATTAGTATTAAGTTCTAGATATTAATGTTTTTTCTTGCCCGAAACGCATTGCGTAATAGTGGCTTTAGGCATTGTATGTACTAGCTCTATCTATATATCAATCCATTAATGTAACATCACTTGTATGTATATACCTTACCTGAATAAACATCTGAATCTGAATCTGAATCTAAAATGTGTGAACCATCGCTGTACTCAAAATTATGGTGTGCATATTAGTGATTCAATTATTATGTTCATAAAACAATAAACAAATAGTTTTGCTGTTGTTACACTATATACACAGGTTATATATAAGTATCTGCATGTTTTGTACACCATAACGAACTACTAAGTTGGTCTTGCGAGTCAAAAAGCAACGAGGAGCGACCCCCATACACCAGCGAGCCACTCACTGCCACTCCCTCCCTCAACACCACCTCACTCACCTCCCACAATACTCTTTCTGTATTTATTCACTATACACAGACGTTATATATACGTATTTACATGTTTTGTTCACCATAACTGTACATCTAAGCTTGTATGGTGATTAAAGGCCATCAGACGTAGCTACTCACAGTCAGCTGATCGGCGGCCGCCCTCAAGGCCAGACGCACTAATATTTGTCATCCAACAATATTGTTTGTGGTGTTATTACGCTATATACACACATTATATATAAGTATCTACTTGTTTTATTCACCATACCTGAACAAATAAGCTGGTATGGTGCCCAAAGATCATAGTGGCCATCGGTAAACAACATGCCAAGTCGTGCAGACGACGCTCCTCCCTCACCAAAATGGCGGCTCCCAACCTACTCCTCTCGCTGTTATCTCACACTATACACACGTTATATATAAGTATCTACATTTGTGTTCACCATATCGAACCACTAAGCTGGTATGGTGCGTGCAGTCAGTAAAAGGTGGCCACACACAGTCAGAAATCGACGTCACAACCCTCCCTCCCACAGCCTTACTCCTCCCTCCATGGAGCACAGCGCTATATATCACCACAATCCTGCTATTATCAGAATCCTGGTCAGTTTTATCACAGTCAGGGGGCTTCAGTAATACTATCACTGCTAAATAATAGCAGTATCATTTATATTATGGTATTTGTAGGCGATTCTGTGGTCACAAGCTGAACAGCGGTGCTGTGAGCTCGTGCTGCGTGTGCCAGCCTTGGTGGCTTGCTCAATACTGACGCTGTAACACCCAAGAATGTTGGCCTGGATTTTTTTTCTAGATGGCATCTGGCAACTATCGGTCGTGGCTGTACTATAGCTGCCCCTATCCCAGGCGGGGCGTTTAAATTATAGCGCTAGACACGAAATCATATATAAATGATGTGCGCGGTTTCGGTTTTGTCACTGATATCATTTATATATGATATGCGCGGTTTGAGGGTTAAACATAATACAGAGTACAAAACACAATCAAATGTACCCATAGTAGGAAAACAGCATATAAAGGATTTGGGAATAATAATGTCTGACGACCTAACGTTTAAGGAGCATAATCAAGCAAATATTGCGACAGCCAGAAAAATTATAGGATGGATTACGAGAACTTTCAAATCTAGGGATCCCATCTCAATGGTTGTACTCTTCAAGTCTTGTGAAGTCACTTGTGTTGTTCCGTCTTGAGTACTGCTCAGTACTCACTTCCACCTTCAGAGCAGGAGAGATTGCTGAAATAGAGGGAATAAAGAGAACATATACGGCACGCATAGAAGCAATAATTAAAGCACCTAAATTATTGGGATCGTCTCAAAGCCCTCCAAATGTACTCACTAGAAAGAAGACGAGAGAGATATCAAATAACATACACCTGGAAGATACTGGAGGGCCAAGTACCAAATCTACACAGTAAAATAACAACGTACTGGAGTGAACGATATGGAAGAAAATGCAGAATAGAACCAGTGAAGAGCAGAGGTGCCATAGGCACAATCAGAGAACACTGTATAAACATCAGAGGTCCGCGGTTTTTCAACGTCCTCCCAGCAAGCATAAGAAATATTGCTGGAACAACCGTGGACATCTTCAAGAGGAAACTAGATTTATTCCTCCAAGGAGTGCCGGACCAACCGGGCTGTGGTGGGTATGTGGGCCTGTTGGCCGCTACAAGCAACAGCCTAGTGGACCAAACTCTCACAAGTCAAGCCTGGCCTCGGGCCGGGCTTGGGGAGTAGAAGAACTCCCAGAACCCCATCAACCAGGTATCAACCAGGGGTGGGGTGCACTCGGGTGTGGTCGAAACGACGACGTCCCTCAGATGGGTTTCCCATCTGTTTCCATGTGAGGACCTGAGGTTCATTCTGGACTTGTCCCGTCTGAACCCCCTGGGTCTATTGCCCCTCCTTTCGGATGACTGCTCTGTCCCAGGTCCGGCTTCTTTTAGAGCCGGGCTTGAATGGTGTCTCTGGACCTCCCTGACGCTTATTGGCACATTCCTATTCATCCGGGGTTCAGGGACTGGCTTGGGTTTGTTGTGGGACATCGGGGTTATCGTTTTCGTTGCGTAAGGTAGATTATCGTAAGGTATTTGTACTTAATAGTGCTGATGTTGACCCTCAGAGCAACCCTGATGAAAAGCATTTTCACTATAATATATGTAGCTACATAAAATATTTTACATAAAGTAAGATTCTACACATAACTTGGATATTATTTTCTAGTAAATATGTCATGAGCTGACCTGGAATATTCCACATGAGATTAGAGTAAAGACTACCACCTCCATCAATCTTCAGAGTTTCACCAGTAATGAATGATGCTCCAGGGGACAACAGGAAGCATACTGCACTTGCCACCTGTAAAACAAAACAAAATAAAGCATTAACTGTAATAAATGACCTTTAGAGCTTTCAGTAGATTGTGCTCTTATGAAACTTAGCCTTCAGAAATGCACAAGTCCTACGAGACACACGGCCCAGATGGGAGTTTCATCATGGGTTCTGAGAGAATGTGCACCTCAGCTCAGCATTCCACTTCAATTGATTTTTCAGGCATCCTTGTGTATAGGAGTTCTAACAGATATGTAGAAAAAAAGCCAACATAGTTCCAATCTACAAAAGTGGTAGCAGGGATGATCCCCCTTAATTACAGACCTGAATCACTGACAAGTGTAATAGTCTAAATATTGGCAAAATAATTAAAACTAAATGGATAGAACACCTGGAGAAAAATGATATAATAACAGACAGACAATATTGTTTTTGACCTGAAAGATCCTGTGTAATGAATTTACTCAGTTTCTATAATAGAGCCACAGAGATTTTATAGGAAAGAGATGGTCGGGTTGACAGGACTGCATTTAACTGGACCTAAAAAAGGCTTTCGACAGAGTTCCACATAAGAGATTGTTCTGGAAACTGAAACATACTAGAGGAGTGACAGGAAGGCATCCAACATGGATGAAAACTGAAATTTTTTCTGACAAAAAAACCAGCGTTGAATACAGTGGGGCCTCGATTTACGATGGTAATCCGTTCCCAGAAATGTATCGTAAGTCGAAATATAAGTCGAAGCAATTTTTCCCCATAAGAAACAAAGGGAATTGAATTAATCCGTTTCTCACTCTCCAAAATATTAACTAATAAATACATTTTATACTGAATACAATTTTCTTCTCTCAGTACAATACAGTACATGTGTTTATCTTACCTTTATGGATGACTCTTGATGACATACGGAAGATGGTTATGAGAGGGGAGGAGGAGAGGTGTTACTGTTTGCAAGGGGAGTTCCCTTCCATTATAACATCAGGCAGTGATGACTTTTCTGGGGTACACTCTCTGGCACGTTTTGCCTGCATACCACTAGGACCTGCTTGTGGCTCACTGCTTGCTTGTCTTACTAAGAATCTGTCTAAAGACACTTGTTTTTCCCTACATTTTAACACTTGTCTGTAGTGAGACATCACATTGTCATTTAAAGGTCAATGCAATGGCCTGCTACAGCTGTATCTGGGTGAGGTTTTTCAACAAAACTTTGCAGTTCTTCCCATACTTCACACATTTTCTTAATGAAGAAGAGACATTCTCTACTGCCTCTACTCACAACTATTTTCATAGGTTGAACCTTACCACTGACTTTCTTGGGACCCATGGCGTGTGTCACAGTAAAATCTCTAGGAAGATATTCGGCCTGCTCCATCATCACCTATTCTATCATATCACGTATATATATTCAAGAAATTGCAGCCACAACAATAACTACTTTCCAGACGTCTAGACAATACCACCGGTCTCCCCCTTACACCACTGCCTGTCATCCCACCTCACCTGGGTCACTGGGAGCTCATGCCATCTCAAACAAGCAGTTAAAAGTGAGCCGGTTCATAGTTACAGAAGCTAGCAGCGCCACCTGCACGGCCGTCGTCGTGTATATATAGGGTTACCTAGCCCACTACAATTCAGATTACTCCTGAGTGCTCTACTGAGTAGACCTGTTGACATACCCCGGTGTGGTAATAGAGTTATTCAGTCTGGCTCACAGTATTCTAGCACCATATTTTATTTGCACATTAACGTAACGTAAATTTGATTGTTCATCTTGTTTGTTTGCACACTTTGTATTAGAGCCAAGCCTGGATATTATTTTATGTTTTGTAATTTGTTTAACTTCAATTTTCTATCAAAGTATAGTACTTTTAAATGTTTTTTCTCTCTGTCTTATCCTACAGTTACCTCACCATGAAGACAAATTGCAATTTTAACTTTGTTTTGCTTTTGTTTTTGTTTTATGTGACTGGCATTCCATCTGCCTAGAGAGACTGCAATACCATCTATTTTTACCGTCATACGTGATGTATAATAATCAGTTTTATGTTCAGAAAGCAAAAAATCACCACAAAAACGGAATTTCTTATAGGCATGATTGTCACTAAGCGGGCGGCCCTAGTAAACTGAGGCAGGTCGGCCCGCATGACCAGGAACCACGCGCTCGGTCGACCCAAACGTGTACCAACAAATATCGTAAGTCGACGACACTATCATAAGTCGAGTCACATTTTTCTATCAAATTTACATCGTAACTCGAAAATATCGTAAGTCGGGCAATTGTAAGTCAAGATGCCACTGTATAATGAAACGCCATTTTTTGGGCGAGTCCCAGAGGCTCCCGGGAGCTATCCAGGCTGACAGGAATAGTCCTAACTTTTGGCATCAGTCGATGTGGGTAGAGTTCTAGGCTTACCGGGGACCACGGCCAGAACCTGGCCCCCCTCAGAGAGGCACGAGGAGCAATGGCTTATAGAAACACACATGTGATTTTGGAGCATTCTATATCTGCCATCGACCGGGACAGGCACCCAGAAAGGTAAGCACCTCAAAACAAACCCCTATTCTGGTTAACAACAAAAATAACGAAACAAGTGGACAGAACTCCTCCAAGGGGAGGGTCCAGTAGCAGTACAGGGGTAGAGGGGAGGGTCCAGTAGCAGTACAGGGGTAGAGGGGAGGGTCCAGTAGCAGTACAGGGGTAGAGGGGAGGGTCCAGTAGCAGTACAGGGGTAGAGGGGAGGGTCCAGTAGCAGTACAGGGGTAGAGGGGAGGGTCCAGTAGCAGTACAGGGGTAGAGGGGAGGGTCCAGTAGCAGTACAGGGGTAGAGGGGAGGGTCCAGTAGCAGTACAGGGGTAGAGGGGAGGGTCCAGTAGCAGTACAGGGGTAGAGGGGAGGGCCCAGTAGCAGTACAGGGGTAGAGGGGAGGGTCCAGTAGCAGTACAGGGGTAGAGGGGAGGGTCCAGTAGCAGTACAGGAGTAGAGGGGAGGGTCCAGTAGCAGTACAGGGGTAGAGGGGAGGGTCCAGTAGCAGTACAGGGGAGGGTCCAGTAGCAGTACAGGGGTAGAGGGGAGGGTCCAGTAGCGGGATGGGGGGGTGGCATTTATGCATTTTGAGTCATTCAGCCATTTACAGTCATTCAGCCATTTACAATCATTCAGCCATTTACAATCAATCATCCATTCAAGAGATGATTGAGTGGTCCTCCAGAATAATGTTTCTCAACTATACTTTTCACAGATGCTGTCTGTTTGTACCTCTCATACATAACATTCCCAACATAATCCTTAGGCCTAGTTTTGTTGCTGTTGACTCTTCCCTTAGTACACTGTTAAATGTTCTAATCTTTATAGGAAACATGACCTAACTTAGATTTTAGCTCCTAAATGCTCACCTCCTTTATTTTGTTCCATTATCCTTTTAAGTCATTTTTACCTCTCTTAGATATTACCGTAGTAACATTACATTTCCTCTTGGACCGGTGGTTAGTTGAGGGTTTCACTGACATAGTGGAAGGACGTCCCTTAATCTTGTGGATAAATCCATGGATGAGCAGGGAGATAATATCTGAATGTGTCTAAATAACAATATTGTATAATGCTAGTACTGTACTAGGATAACTCCTTACTAATAAATAAGAGTAGTTGAGGTCTGTATGAATGCCACCTTATCATTACAAGTCTCTAGGCAGCCAACCAAGGAAACACAGCACACCTCTTTCCTTGCTCACTGTTCAGCCTGCTATGTGCCAAGTCTTCTAGTTATGCGAGCATTTATTAGTACAGTATACAAGGATTTAATCTCACATAGGAACATTTATTTGGTTATAAAGTGATTCAGCTCGTGCCAGTTACCTCATTGGTTAACATGTATTGTAATACATACTGTGTATTTTGTCTACAAGAATTTTAATCATTGTACAGTATCAAACTAAATTCACTAAATGATATGACAATTAAAATTTGCATTTAACTCTCATTGTTACTAGTTATACTGAGGAAAAGTATGGCTACATTTAAGCAAACGATGACAATCTTGGTGATTTGTTTAGCATATAAAAATGTGTCATGTGACTTAAAGCAATGAGGAGAGAAGTTTGAGGAAGGAAATGCCATACAATAACATGTGTTGATTGGGAACATATACAGGTTGGTGACCAAACTATTCTGTATCATTAGGAATAAAGTCAATGTGTCAAGAAATGTTTTATGACCATTCCTTCATTTGGCTCGATATTTGTGAATCAGTTAAGTTTTTATGATAAGCAAGTGAGAATACAGTCTGTATTAAAACAGTAATACAGTATACTGTTACACCTTTAAAAATACCAACCTCTTGCGGTGTTCCAAGCCTTTTTGTTGGAATGTGGACACGAACTTTTTCAAAGATGTTGCCATCTCCATAGTTTGCAGCCGCTGTAGGAGAGTAAATGGAGCCTCCTGGTGCCACTGAATTTATTCGCACTCCATTGGAGGCCCATTCTACTGAAAGACTCTGAAATGAGGTGATAAGAATCAGAAGATGCTTAAATTTAATAAATATTGTATATATGACTGAATTATGTTTGGGAAATTGAGAAAGGTATTGCTGAGGCAGCATCTCTCTCTCATCATAAAATTGACCTATCACCACTAACCCCAAGTATTTTATGAAAACAGATTAAACAAATCTAAAAGAAAATTGTTAAAGAACATTGGAAATATACTCTTATACAATATCTTAGTATCCAACCAACACTCATATTACACACATATGAAACTTACCTAAGATGGTAAAACCTCGGCAGCAGTCTTCCAAATAGTTACTGTATTCAAGATCAACCAGAGCTAACATTATCAGAAATAGCCTAGTCAGAGACAATTCTTAATACACATCTTATCTGCAACTGTCTTACTTCACCATTCCTATTACCAATCACTTTCTCAGATACAATATTTCCATAATACACATCCAATGCCAGTCAGAAATACAGTTGCAGAAATACAATGGAGAGGCCTCAGAAGGGGTCAGCTGAAAGGAATACCCCAAAACCTCAGTGGGACCAGCCAGCTCAACTGCCTCTGTGCCCAAAGTGGAAGGAGTTACCCCGCGAGATGGCCGAGCCACATCCCGAGCTAAACCCTGCCCCAACCTGGAAACCCTTGGATTCTTGGAGTCAGAAGCAGGTCATACTACTCCCGAAGGGGCAAGGAAGAGGCGGTGCAGACAGAGCCAAGGTGGAAGCCACCAACACCTCTAACTCTGGATCCCTAAACACAAGATGGGCCAGCTCTGAGGCATCCAAACAAGACATAACCTAGACTCCTGAAGGCAGGCAAAATGTACCCGCAAAACAGAAGCTGCCTGATACTCTTGAACTTCATCTAGACGGTCTGAGAAAGAAAGCCAAATAGGAAAAGCAAACCCCCAACAGGACTTGGGATCACAGGTGTCTCAAACCCAGCAGGAAGAATGGCAGAGGTAAAAAGAATGATCGTTGCTCTGTGGCATGGATGACAAACAGCCCTCAAACTCACACAGAGTGAAAACAAGTTTTAAGGGAATACCTATAAGCAACACCAAACACAAGGGCCATAAGGGTAAACCAAATTGGTTACCCAGGCACTGGGGATGCTATGCTGGACCTAAAAGTAAGCCGACATAGCCCAGGCTACACAGATGTGAAGGCCGGCCTCGACGTGCTGTAAGTACAGGGCTGAGACACGAGCAACAAGACCCAAGACGAGTACCCTCTCCTCGCAAGTGGAATTGACTGGAATAAAAGGGAGGGAGTTCCAGAACACACCAGAGAAGAGAACTCTCTCAGTGCAGGGCAGCACTAGGGAGCACACAGAAGATAGTCCTAAGCATATGCAGCTCTAAGTGCTCTAAAAGCCAGGTCCACTTCCAATGGTTCAAAACAATTGACAACAAAAAGCCACACAGGACAAAGTCCAAGAAAGGCTGGCACTCTGCTGAAAAGCACTGGGACCTGCCATGGCTTGCAGATGATCTGGGACCCTTACAGCAGATGTTGTTTCCAGTCTGCATGAGCAACACAACTGATGGCATTAGCCAGTGGACAACGCGAGCCCTGGCTTCCCTCCATAAACTAGTGGAAGTGGTGAGGCAAACGAGCGCATGCTTGTTTCACGAGATTCACTCATTTGTTTATATTGTAGAGGGAGTTTGTTTGAAGGTTTTGAGGCTTCAGTCTTTTTGAAACCAGCAGGTAGTCTGTACTGGTTCACTGACTTTTTAGATGCTCTCCCGTTCGGGTAATGGAGCTTCAACTTGCTCTCTGCACTTCTGTGAGAGGGGCCCAGGTTCTGACTCTGGTCCACAGTAGGCCAGACAGAACTAGTAGATGGAAGACATCTCTCTAAATAGCTTCAGGGAGCCATAAGGAGGTTCCCCTCCAGAAAGCAAGTGACGTGAAATGGTCCTTTCTGAGCAGCATTTTGATAGCTTCCCATTTATATAATATAATAATAATAATAATAATAATAATAATAATAATAATATTTATTTAGGTAAAGGTACATACATAAAGAGATTTTACAAAGTTTGTTGGCTTTATAGATAGGAGCTAGTACATACAATGCCTAAAGCCACTATTACGCAAAGCGTTTCGGGCAGGAAAAAACACTAATGACTAAAGCTTAAAACTAATGGGTAAAAAGAACAAAATGTGTTGAGTACAAATAAAAATAGAGGTAAAAGAGGGGGGAACATTGTTGAAAAAGCAGCACAAATACAATTACAAATTATTACAGAAAATTACATTCAAACAGCGTTGATTTGAAAAACAAAAAAAAAAAAAAAAACATACATGGGTTGACAATAGAGGGGTAAGGTAGGTTACAGGGAATTTATTAGGTATAGCTTCGTTTTTAACTTAAACTGGTTGAGAGAGGTACAGTCTTTAACATGGTTGGGAAGGTCATTCCACATTCTGGGCCCCTTGATTTGTAGAGCATTTCTGGTTTGATTAAGTCGTACTCTAGGAATATCAAAACTGTATTTATTTCTGGTGTGGTGCTCATGGGTTCTGTTACAACCTTCTATGAAGCTTTTGAGATCAGGATTGGCATTATAGTTTAGCGTTTTATATATGTATAATACACATGAGAGAATGTGCAGTGACTTAATGTCTAACATATTCAGAGATTTGAGTAGGGGGTACCGAGTGATGTCTGGGGCCAGAATTGGATATTGTCCTAATAGCAGCTTTGTGTTGAGTAATTAGAGGACGTAAGTGATTTTGGGTAGTAGAGTCCCAAGCACAAATACCATAGTTGAGATATGGATAGATAAGGGAGTAATAGAGAGTCACCAGGGCAGGGCGTGGTACATAATATCTGATCTTAGAAAGAATGCCCACAGTTTTTGAAACTTTTTTTGATATGTTTAGAATGTGTCCCTAATTTCTGCCCTTTAGGTTGTGTCTTGCATGATAATTTGGTAGGTGGGGCATAGAGTGGGTTTATCTACCTTCCTTGGCCTTCATATGCGCTGGTGCTCCCATTAGTAGTAGATGCAAAAGTTAATCAGTGTTGTTTTCAATGCTTCAGTATGCTCAATGTGATTCTTGGTGGCTTAAGTGTGCTTGGAGTTAGAAAAAAAAATTCACATTATTCTAAACTGTGCGTCATAGTGAAGGGGGCTCTCACATTTTAGATTGAGGTATACTTTCCACTGACCTCTCAGTTATGTTAATAATTTCAATAAGACTATTTGCAAAGATGCTTGCCTTCCTGGGACTAGTCACTCAAACATTTGCAGATAGTCAATATTGTGAGAGGTTTAGTGTGTAAGATTAGGGCAACTACAATATTCCCACTCAAAAGATGGCTTTTCACTTCACACAATGCTTTACTTTGAACTCAAGTAGAGGCACTTCTTTATTCAAAAGTTAAATCTATAACTTCTCAAGGCACCAATAACATGCTGCACTTCTATATATCTTACACACACATTATTTTTAACCTGTAAGCATCAATATTTATACGTATAGAGGTAAAATGCTGCAAGTTCACTTGGAGGAGGCAATGGGCAAATGTTCAGATGTAGTCAAAAATACATTAGAAAATACCTTAGTTAAGTTGTCAACTCCTGCTCGAGCTGCTCCTGTGTGAGCTACCATTGGTGTGCCACGGAACATGTCGACAATGACGTTAACAATCACTCCACCGTTGTCCCTCATCCACTGATCATAAACTGACAAAATAAGGACAAATTACACAACATACATCTAGAAGAGAATATTGCACCATTGATAATATAAGAAATAAAAGAAACTACTGCAGAAGCAAAGCTAATGCTGTAAGAACTCAATAAATTGAATTCCGGCAACCCAAATCTTTGAGTACTGTAATCCGAATGAATTCCTGTTTGAGTTCTTGACTTTTTAACCTGAACTCCTTGGGACAGTCCTCTGTCCTTTTCTAGCCTTGTGCTCCTGCTGCCGTCCTCTCCAATTCTGCTGGGCACCTTTTCCTTTTCCTTCTGTTTCGTTTTTCTCCCCCCTCTTCTCCTATCTGCTTGCCGTTTCCTGCCGACCTTTTGCTTGTTCTGGTTCTTCCTTTGGACTTCTTCTATTTTGACGCCCAGGTGCTTGAGGAGGCATACTCTTGCACCCGTAGAACTGTAGTACCCGACGTCGAGAGCGAGGGGAATCTTTTATTGTCAATCCCCCTTTCGTCACTGAACCCGATCTCGACGGACTGTCGGTTTCTTAAGGTGGCGTTTGTGGGGCGTATACTCACGACGCACCCCTAGGAGGCCCCGGCAAGATCGGTGATAGCTTCTTGTTGGGTGTCCTGCCTCTAATTGTGGCTCCATGGTGGGTGTGGGGGCACATTCGTGAATGAATATTCCTTTTCGTAACGATGATGACCCCTGTTTCGGCTGTTTCTGCTTTACCTTCTCAGGCTCGTGGGGTGGGCGACCAAGCCCCTGAGTCGGTCCGTGTTGGAAGACCGAGCTCTGTAGCCTCCGCTGCATTGGGCCCCGACCTTGCTCCTCCTTTGGCCTCTCTGACTCCTTCCCCTGGCTCCCCTCCCTCCTCTGTGGTTGGGTCGAGCCCCAAGCCCCCAGTGGTGACTACCTCGTCCCCTGGCGCGGCTCCATCTCTAGTTGTAACTACTGCGCCTTTTAACCCCTCTCTCTCTGGGGGTTCTCACCGCCGTCCTCCTCACGGCCGCCCTCGCTCGATTCTTTCCAGTTCTGCTACCTATCAAGCCTTGTTTGGTCCCGCTTCGTGGGCCAAATATTTTGATCCCCTCCCTCTTGATTCTGCGCCTCCTGATGATTCTGCGCCTCCTGATGATTTCTCCCTCCATCGACATCTCGTTGATTCCGTGGATGCCTCCATTACTTTCAACCCCACTCGTCTCGGTACACGTGTCGTTGCTGCTCCTTCTCAGGATGCTGCTTCCCGCTTGGCTGCCTTATCCTGCCTTGGCGAGACCCCTGTTCGGGTCTTGAAGAACGCTCAGTTGAATGCCAGTGTTGGCACTATTTTGCTCCCGCCCCATGTTGCGACCGGTGTTCGGGACCTACGCGACTGCCACGACGATATTCGCCATATCCTCGCTGCCCAGGGCCATTCTATTCTCCAGGTGGACACGTTTACTCGTCCCCCTCGTGGTAGTCGCCGTCAACCCCTCCGGGTTGTGAAGATTACCTTTGATGGTAGGACCCTTCCACCCTCTGTCATTCTTGCTGGTGCCAGGTGCTCTGTCCAGGAGTACATTCCTTCTCCTCGGCTCTGTAACAAGTGCTGGAGGTTTGGGCATGGTGCCCTCCACTGCTCCGGGACTGTCTCTCACTGTCCTTTGTGTGGTGGCGAAGGTCACTCTAAGTCGGAGTGCACTTCTCCCCAGGCTCGTTGCCTCAACTGCGGTGAGGCCCATCCTACCTTCTCCCGTGCGTGTGTCCATTACAAGCTTGAGGCAGCCGTCATCAACTTGAAGCACCGGGAGCGTTTATCTTTTCCTGAGGCGAGACGCCAGGTTCGCCGGCCCCCGCCTTATGCTAATATCTCTTATGCTCGCGTGTTGCGCTCTTCCTCTCCTCGTCCTTCCCGCCTTCCTCAGACTCACAACCGTTTCCGGGCCTTGGACCCTGATACGCCCACTGCCCCCTCCTCTGTTCCTTTGGGTTCTCTCCCGAAGGATCCACCTCCTGGTCCTCTGTCTGGGGTTCCCCTTCTTTCTACCCGGTCTGTCGTGTCTCCTGTGTCTTCTTCCTCGTCTCCCTCCGTTCCTCCTTCCCATCCTTCCCCTCCATCTCTTGACTCTCCCCGCCGCCTGTCGGTGCGGGCTGATGTCCATCGCTCTCCAAACGGCCGTCATGTGTGCTCTCGTTCAGCTTCTCCTGTTGAGACGCTAGAATCCGTTGCCCAGTACGTGGTTGCTGGGACACCTGTCTCTTTACGTCAGAAGCGTAAACCTGGCTCCTCTCCTTCCTCCTCCCCGGCGGGTAAGAAGGTTTCGCTTTCTTCCTCGGCCCTACTTCTGCCTCGGCCCCTACTTCTGCTTCTCTCGCTCCTTCCCCTCCCATTTCGGTGGTTGCGCCCCCTGTTCCTGCTATGGAGGTTTCTTTAGCCCCCGCTTCCCTCTCGGTTGCTGCCCTTGCTGAGGTGCGCTCCCCTCTTTCTACCCCCCCTCTTCCTGCTGCTGTCCTTGACTGCTCCTCTCCGTTGTCTCCTCCTCTTCCTCCTCCTCCTCCGGACCCCGCCCGCCCACCTCTGATCTGTTCTCCCGTTTCCTTCCCTCCGTCTTTGCTCAGTTTACCCATGCCCCCCTAACCCTGACTTTGCTGACCCTGATCCCGACCCTGATATTCTTTAACGTCTCTGTTGCTCTTTCGCCTTTGTTTCTTCCTTGTTCTCTGTTTTTGTCCTTTCTCTTCTCGTCGTTGTCCATTCTTCAATGGAACGTTCGAGGTTATTACGCCAATTTCCTCGAATTCCAACTTCTGATTTCGCAGATTTCGCCCCTTTGTGTCTATCTTTAGGAGCCGATGCTTGGTGCTCGTCCTGGTCGTTTTCGTGGCTATTCCTTTCTCTCCCTCCCCCCCCCAGCCGTTGCTGGGGCTTCTAATTCTTCTGCTCTCTTGATTCGTGCTGATGTTCCCTTTGTTCCTTTACTTTTTCCTTCGCCTCTCCATTGTTCTGCTGCTCGTATCTTTGTGGGGAAATGGTACACAGTTTGTTCCATTTATCTCCCCCCGAGTGTCCCGCTTTCTCTTCCTGATTTGAAACACCTCTTGGACTCCTTGCCGGAGCCTGTGCTCCTGCTGGGTGACTTCAATTGTCGTCATTCTCTTTGGGGTGACGTTCTGATGAATACCCGAGGTCGCCTTCTTGAGCCGTTTCTCCTCACCTCATCCCTGTCTCTTCTGAATTCTAGTGAGCCCACTCATATGGACTCTCGGACTCGCACCCTTTCTTGTCTTGATCTTTCTCTTTGCTCTTATTCTCTTTACTTAGATTTCACGTGGCAGGTTCTTGATGACCTCCATGGCAGTGACCATTTCCCTATCCTTGTTTCCTTTTTCTCTTTTCGCCCTTCCCTCTCTTTCCCTAGGTGGCAGTTTGCTAAGGCGGACTGGACCCTATTTACCCTCAGTGCTGCTCTCTCTGACCTCTCCCTTCTGCCTCTCTCTCGCGCTCTCCTCCTTTTTCATGACACTGTCTTCAACGCTGCCCTCTGCTCTATCCCTCGCTCTTCCTCTCGGGGTCCACGGAAGTGCGTTCCCTGGTGGAATGCGGACTGTGCTCGGGCTGTCCGCTGTAAGCTTGCAGCCTGGAAGAGGCACCGCCGTAGGCAGACGACCGATTCTTTTCTTTTCTTTCGGAAAGCGAGTGCGGTGGCCCGTAGGGCCATCCATACGGCTAAACGTGAATGTTGGGCATCTTATGTCTCGACAATTACGTCCGAAACTCCTCTGGCCCAGATCTGGAAGCGTATCCGCAAGATAGCGGGTAAGTTCGTTCCCGATGTTTCATCGGTCCTTCACCTCCATGATACTCTTGTGGCGGACGCGATGCAGGTCGCTTCCGTACTGGGTTCCCACTTTTCTTCTGTTAGCTCTGGTCTTCATCTTCCCCAATCTTTCCTTCTTCGTAAACCTGTCCTTGAGTCTCGTCCTTTAGATTTCTGCATTCGTCTTCAGCTTCCCTATAATGAGCCCTTCTCTCTCTCTCTCTGAACTTAATAATAATAATAATAATATTTTATTTAGGTAAGGTACATACATACAATAAATTTTTACAAAGATTGGTTGACTTATAGGTAGAGCTAGTACATACAATGCCTAAAGCCACTATTACGCAAAGCGTTTCGGGCATGATAAACTTAAATGACAAGCTTAATACTAATTGAGCATAATGAGTAGATGAAAACAAGAAATGAAAACAGATGAAAAAGCAGCACAAATACAAATATGTCGACAAACAGCGCTCTTTAAAAAAAAAACAGACATTGGTTGACAATAGAAGGGTAAGGAAGGTTACAGGGAATTTATTAGGTATAGCTTCGTTTTTAACTTAAACTGGTTGAGAGAGGTACAGTCTTTAACATGGTCGGGAAGGTCATTCCACATTCTGGGCCCCTTGATTTGTAGAGCATTTCTAGTTTGATTAAGTCGTACTCTAGGAATATCAAAACTGTATTTATTTCTGGTGTGGTGCTCATGGGTTCTGTTACAACCTTCTATGAAGCTTTTGAGATCAGGATTGGCATTATAGTTTAGCGTTTTATATATGTATAATACACATGAGAGAATGTGCAGAGACTTAATGTCTAACATATTCAGAGATTTGAGTAGGGGTACCGAGTGATGTCTGGGGCCAGAGTTGGATATTGTCCTAATAGCAGCTTTGTGTTGAGTAATTAGAGGACGTAAGTGATTTTGGGTAGTAGAGCCCCAAGCACAAATACCATAGTTGAGATATGGATAGATAAGACTTCGTTCCTAGACTTCGTTCTGCCCTGGCCCTCTGCGGTTCTACGGCGGCGGGCTCCGATGGTATTCATTATGAGATGCTTCGCCATCTCCCTCCGTGCACGTCTCAGTATTTACTGAGTCTGTATAATCGGATCTGGGAGTCGTCGTCAGTCCCTGAGGACTGGCTCGATGCCGTTGTCCTCCCTGTTCGCAAACCGGGGTCTCTGGGTACTTCCCCTAAGGACTTTCGCCCTATTGCTCTCACAAGTTGTGTCTGCAAACTCTTTGAACGTATGGTTAACGTTCGTCTGATGTGGTTCCTGGAACACCATCACCTCCTCTCCCCTTCTCAATTTGGTTTCCGCAAGTGCCGCAGCACGACAGATGTCCTGGTGAACTTGGAGGTCTATATACGTACTGCTTTTGCTGCGAAGACCTCCGTTGTTGCCGTCCTTTTTGACCTGGAAAAGGCTTACGACACCACTTGGCGATATCATATTCTATCTCAACTTCATTCTTTTGGCCTTCGTGGTCGTCTCCCTCTCTTTCTCCGCAGCTTCCTCTCTCGTCGTTCCTTTCGGGTGCGCCTTGGTACCGCTCTCTCTGCCTCTTTTCAGCAATACGGTGTGCCCCAGGGTAGTGCTCTGAGCACTACTCTTTTTCTGGTTCCCTCAATGGTCTTCTTTCCTCTCTTCCTTCTGGTGTCTTCTCCGCTCTCTATGTCGATGATCTTACCCTTTGCTGTCAGGGTGATGATTCGCCTCTCCTTCAGCGCCGGCTTCAACTTGCAATTGATGCCGTGTCGTCTTGGGCCACCGATCATGGCTTCAAGTTCTCTACTTCTAAGACTTGTGCCATGACTTTTACGCGGAAACGGGTCGTTCTTCGTCCCTCTTTGTCACTTTATGGTCATCCCCTTGAATACAATGATCCCGCAAAGCTTTTGGGGTTATTCCTTGACACTCGTTTGTCTTGGTCTCCCCATATCTCTTACCTCCGTGTTGAGTGCTCTAAGGCCCTTACCCTCCTTCGGGTCTTGTCCCATACTTCTTGGAGGGCAGATAGGCGCACTCTCCTTGCTTTACATTCCTCTCTCGTCCTGTCTAAGCTCGATTATGGTTGCCCTGCTTACTCGTCTGCTTCTCCTTCTACTCTTCGCCGTCTTGATGCTTTGCACCATACTGGATTGCGCCTCAGTTCTGGTGCCTTTCGTTCCACTCCCGTCCTTAGCTTGTATGTTGACACCGGCTTCATGTCTCTCCTGGACCGCCGTGATCGCTACTGTCTTCGCTATCTTGCACGGTCCTTGCAACATTCTTCCTCTCGCCTCTGTCGTGCTTTAACTTTTACCCCTCCTGCGGTTCCTGTTCCTCTTCACCACCTCCCTCTTTCTGTCCGGTTATCTCGCCTCCAGGATTCTCTTTCCGTTCTTATTTCTAATGTTTCTCCTCGTGTTGTTCCTTCTTTGCCCCCGTGGAGAGTCCCTCTTCCGCGGTTTTGTACTTCCTTGACTCGTATCACTAAAGCTTTTACCCCTCCTACGGTTCTAAAACGCCTTTTCCTTGAGCACTTTTCTTCTCACTCCCACTCCGTTTCTGTCTTCACCGATGGGTCTAAGTCTGCGGACGGTGTTGGCTACTCTGTTGTTCTTCCTGATCGCACTTATATGTGTCGCTTACCTCCGGAGACTAGCATCTTTACAGCGGAACTTTATGCTATTCTCTGTGCTCATCATCTCCTGCTTTCTCGTTGTCAGTCTTCCTTTGTAGTTGTTGTTGACTCTCGTAGTGCCCTCATGGCTCTCGGGTCCTTTAATCCGGTTCATCCAGTAGTTGTCGAGATCCAGCATTGGCTGTTTCTTGTTCACAGTAAATTTAAGTCGGTTGAGTTTTGGACCTGAATAATACAAGTGGTTCTGTAGCCACGCCAGGCAAACAAAAACAAAAAAGAAAAACCCCGCAAAAGCACAACGTCTACAGGAGGAACAGAACCAGCCGCTATGCGTATTACATATAAGACAGCTGCACAGCACCTTGCACCCCTGCCAGTGATGATACTACCGCCCACCCAAGGTCAAACAATGGTAAGAAAGCCCCAACTGACCCCAAGAGCAGGCAATCACCGAGCGACAAAAGAACCCTACAGAGGCAGTTCCCGAACAGTTTGTGGAAGGTAACACCAAATCACAAGGGCAGTACTTGCAGGACACCTAGGGAAGATGACCCTGGGCCCATGCTGCCCCAGTAATTCTTGAATTACACCTGGCTCACATATCACCACACAGCAGCAAAACACCACAATGCACGGCACTGCTCAAAGACTGGAGCTCAAACGACCACCACCCCAACACATCAGCCTCAGAACTGGGGTTGGATAGCCGGCATGGGGAGTTTGGGGTTCCCCTCCCAGAGAGGAGGACAGCTGCACAGACAGTAGCGAGGCAGCAATGGTGACGTCATGTTTGTTTGCTAGTTTTCGGTTTGGTGAGTTCTGCTTGCTAGTTTGGCTTTCAGTCGCAATTTTAACCAGCTGTAGATTGTTTTGGGATGCCTACCTTTCTGGGTGCCTAACCCAGATGATGGCAGACATAGAATGCTTCCAACCACATGGGGGTTTCTATAGGCTCCTCATGCCTCTCTGAGGGGGGCCGGGTTGTGGCTTGTGGTCCCTGGTGGGCTAGATCTACATCGAATTGACTGATGCCACGGTCTAATACATACAGATCAGCCCAGTAAGCTCTGGGGGAGCCAGAGGGGCTCTCCACAGAAAAAATAGTTTGATTTGTACCATCATGAAATAATTGAAAGTTTCAACCTGATACATGAATGCATTCTTCAGATATAAGAGACACCACAAATATTGGAGATGAATGAAACAAACAAAAACTTTAAGGTATTCCTTCAGAGGAACCTAATACATTTTGTTACATTCATAACCTGTAAATCTAAGAATTTGAAAGTTCTTTATAAAATACACACCTTCTTTGCACATTAAGAAAGTTCCAGTAAGATTGGTTTCCAGCACAGCATTCCAGCCTTTGAGGCTAATGTTTGCTGCTGGAGATAGAAATTGACCTCCACCATTATTTACAAGATGGTCTATCTTGCCAAGGTCATGCAGCGTTGAGGAGATCAGATTTCTGTTGAATTAAAAAAACTGTAGCACATCATAGAAATATATGGTTTCAATAATAGGAAACAGAAAACCTGTTAGGCTTACCCAGGAAATATGTGTTGGTCAGCTGTTTCTGGGCTGTGTGTGATTTTTGTATTAGTTGAAATGTACTCCATATACTTAACCCCTGGGCTGTGCTGCTGTTATTTGCTGTCAACTCCCCCCCCCCCCCCCCTTGGAGCATGAATAAAATATGCTTCTAACATTCTTTAAATGCACTCCCTGATCACTGGGAGAGGGGGTGGGGGATGGCTATTGTATGTGATACACTTTGGCCCTGATGGAGTAAGGAAGTTTGGCACAACAATCGCGCTGACAGAACTGGCCTGAAGGTGCTCTGCTCCAGCCAAGCCTACTAAATTATTTCAGTGTCTCTAATTGGTTGTTTCTCTTTTTTTTTTTGCTGTACTGTATTATTATTATTACTTAATAGTTTGTAATGCGATAAATTTATATAATCAAATATGTGGACCATAGCTATACACGAAAATATGGTGTGCATATTAGTGAAACAGTATGTTCTTCAAACATTATTTTTAGAACAATAAAACAGTCTTTTGCTGTTATTTATATACATAAACACTATTTATATATACAGTATAATTACAGCAGTACCTCGGTTAACGAATTTAATCCGTTCTGGCACAGAGCTCGTCATGTGAAACAAATTTCTGTCGGACGTTGAAGGCATCTGAGAATTTGCGAGAACCAGCGAGAATGCTAGAAATCACCGCGTGGTTTTCTCGTTAATCAAGTGGAAGCTCGTCAAATCAGACAAATTTTCTGCGAGTGGCTCGCTCGTTACTTGAAATGCTTGTAGATGGAGCTGCTCATCACTCGCTATTTACTCTCTCATTCACTATTACAAATCACTAAGTGTTTCTGGTGAGTGTAATAATCTTATAACTGGTTATCAGAGTTCAGCCTAATCATGCATATTTTGCACTAAATTCTAACAACACACATTAAATATCCAATATTTTCTTTGTATTTTGAATGTTTTTACCATGGATTTTCCAAGTGCAATGTTTTATCTAATTTACCAAAGGGCCACTAACCCTGGTGGCCTCAATGAGGACAGGAAGCCAATTGCTTGTTGAAGGTCCACTCCATTTGCTTTGATGATCTTTTCCAGGTATATTTTAAAACTCAGTTAACTTTACAGTCTCCGTGGTGTAGTGGTAAGACACTCGCCTGGCGTTCCGCGAGCGCTATGTCATGGGTTCGTATCCTGGCCGGGGAGGATTTACTGGGCGCAATTCCTTAACTGTAGCCTCTGTTTAACGCAAAAACGTAAAATAACCGTAACGTAAAATAAACGTAACGTAAAATGTGTACTTGGATGAAAAAACGATTCTTCGCGGCAGGGGATCGTATTCCAGGGACCATAGGATTAAGGACTTGCCCGAAACGCTACGCGTACTAGTGGCTGTACAAGAATGTAACAACTCTTGTATATATCTCAAAAAAAAAAAAAAAAAAAAAAAAAAAAAAAAAAAAAAAAAAAAAAAAAAAAAAAAAAAAAAAAAAAACTCAACACAGTTTTGGCACTTACAGCTTCGGCGGGTAGGTGATTCCATGGGTCAACCCTGTGGGTGAAAAAAGCTTCTCCTGTTCTCAGTCCTACATTGTGGCTTGTTCAACTTGAGCTTGTTGAACATTTGCGTTACATCAGATGTAACACAAACCATTACTCCTTGTTTGTGTTACATCTCACCTTTTGAAGAAAATATCCAGGTCAGTATCCTCTAACTTGTTCAGTATTTTAAAAGTTTCAATGAGATCTGCCCTGTCATGCCTGGTTTGCAGTGTTAGTCCTGTGGCCATCAACCGTTCCTGATATGAGAGATGACTTAGCTCTGGAATGACTTTTGTTGGCCGGTGTTGCACCTTGTCCAGAGCAGCTATGTCCTTCTGAAAATGAGGTCTCCATGTTTGGATACAGTAATCCAGCACCAGAGATTTATATAGTTGAACAATTACCTTCTTTTCGTTACAGTCAAAGTATGCTTGATTATCCCAAGAGTAAAAAGAATTTGCCCATCTTCTGACCATTCACAAGAGTTCCAGTAGTACAGTCAAATTCATTCTCGACTGACAATCAAGAATTCCGGGTTCGAATCCCGGGCGGGATGGTTGGGCACATTTCATTTCACCTAATGCCTCTGTTCACCTAGCAGTAAGAAGGTACTCAGGAGATAATCAGCTTGTTGTGGAGTTGCATCCTGGGCGGGGTCAGTCGTTCAGCCTTGTGGGGGGGGAGGGTAGGGGGACCTCGCTAAAAGCCAAATGTGCATGAATAAGTGCCAAATGTGCATGAATAAGTGCCAAATGTGTATGAATATGCCCTGGCTTTCTGTCCCCAACACAATGAATTATAATTATTATTTGTGGAGTTTAAGTAGTTCTCTTGGTAAGGCTTCAATATCATTATCATTTCCTACTTTACCATAAACCTTTGTGTCATCAGCAAATTTGATGATGTGGTTTGTAATATTCTCATCTATAGAATTGATATTTTATATATATTATTTTATAATATATTTATTAATATATTGATATTTTATAATATATATATATATATATATATATATATATATATATATATATATATATATATATATATATATATTTTATTTATATATATATATAAATAAAAAGGGTAGGTCCCAAAATGGATCCCTGTGGCACCCTACTTACCCCATTTCTCCATTCAGAATCGTTTCCATCTACCTTACCTTGAGGTTACCTTGAGGTGCTTCCGGGGCTTAGCGTCCCCGCGGCCCGGTCGTCGACCAGGCCTCCTGGTTGCTGGACTGATCCACCAGGCTGTTGGACGCGGCTGCTCGCAGCCTGACGTATGAGTCACAGCCTGGTTGATCAGGTATCTAGCACGACCCTTTGTTTTCTTTCCTTCAACTATTGTTTTATTCATGCTAATATTTTATCATTTATTCTGTATATATACGATATACGCATTGGAAGAGTTAATACATAACAAAAAATAGTGGGCTCCCCAAATTATTACAGAAATAAAAACTCCAGATTGACACAGCAGCATGTTCACAGCATGGCAGCATGGATTAAGCCTATTTATCAAAGTAGGAATTATGGTAGTTTTCTTATAATTACAAGTTTATATTTGTTTTAAAACTTACTTAACTTGATCTTCTTCTCTGATATTGCATACTTTTGCTACAAGTCTCTTGCCATTTGGACAGAGTTCCTGAACTGCCTCTCTTAACCTCTCTTCTTTTCTTGATGCAATTACCACAGTACAACCTGGAAATAATGAACATGGCAAGGGTGAGAGGGCGTTAGTGTGAGCTTTGATCCAGTGTGCATGCTGCTAAGTGAGAGGATGGTGAGAGAAACATGTGCAGGTGGTTATTTGTGAGGTAGCTGAAAGGCAAGCCTAATCCGTTTCTAGCAGGCGAGTCTCCTCTATGGCCTAGATTGATCTACCGTGTGTGATATCACTACTCGGCTTTCCTATTCTGCAGTTCTCCCAGAACCTCCCAGAGAACCTGTTCTGAAGGTCTCGAACTGGAGCCCAACCAGGGTATTAACGTTGACCTCTGGCCTATGGTAATGGCCTCACTCAGGTTGCAATGAAATCACAATTGTGTGATATATCAATGAAAATCATTATGAAGCAATGGAATGACTTGAACTCACATTCTGGTGGTTGACTTTTGTACCCTCGTGGCTGAGTCAGTTAAGGCAGACGTATAGGCATACAGTATATGGTTTACGTAAAGCTACGACTAGTCTGGAGTTGTAATAGTGTGAGGCAGTGTTCTTGGGAAGATTGGCATTCATAAATAGCTTCCTGAATCACAACGTAACTGCCACAACAATGATATGGAATGAAACGTTTCGTCAGTACAGTACAGTTCTTGAGTAACTGCTTCGTGAATGTGGCTTCAGGTCTTTACGGGAATCTAACCGGGCACATAACCTAGACTGCTGCAAATGAACAAAATGAACTTGCAAAGCGCCTGATATGAACTAATCTCATCAGGAGGGTCAGAAAGAAGTCACATGGAGAGAACAAACCCTACAGGACTCGGTGTCATACATCAACCACTGTAACTTTATATCATATTAATTATATATATATATATATATATATATATATATATATATATATATATATATATATATATATATATATATATATATATATATGTCGTACCTAGTAGCCAGAACGCACTTCTCAGCCTACTATTCAAGGCCCGATTTGCCTAATAAGCCAAGTTTTCCTGAATTAATATATTTACTATATTTTTTTTCTTATGAAATGATAAAGCAACCCTTTTCTCTATGTATGAGGTCAATTCTTTTTTATTGGAGTTAAAATTAACGTAGATATATGACCGAACCTAACCAACCCTACCTAACCTAACCTAACCTATATTTATAGGTAAGGTTAGGTTAGGTAGCCAAAAAAAGCTAGGTTAGGTTAGGTTAGGTAGGTTAGGTAGACGAAAAAACATTAATTCATGAAAACTTGGCTTATTAGGCAAATTGGGCCTTGAATAGTAGGCTGAGAAGTGCGTTCTGGCTATTAGGTACGACATATATATATATATATATATATATATATATATATATATATATATATATATATATATATATATATATATATATATATATATATATATATATATATATATATGTCGTACCTAGTAGCCAAGTTAATAAGCCAAGTTTTCCTGAATTAATATATTTTCTCTAATTTTTTTCTTATGAAATGATAAAGCTACCCATTTGATTATGTATGAGGTCAATTTTTTTTATTGAAGTTAAAATTAACGTAGATATATGACCGAACCTAACCAACCCTACCTAACCTAACCTAACCTATCTTTATAGGTTAGGTTAGGTTAGGTAGCCGAAAAAGTTAGGTTAGGTTAGGTAGTCGAAAAACAATTAATTCATGAAAACTTGGCTTATTAGGCAAATCGGGCCTTGCATAGTAGGCTGGAAAGTGCGTTCTGGCTACTAGGTACGATATATATATATATATATATATATATATATATATATATATATATATATATATGTCGTACCTAATAGCCAGAACGCACTTCTCAGCCTACTATTCAAGGCCCGATTTGCCTAATAAGCCAAGTTTTCATGAATTAATGTTTTTTCGTCTACCTAACCTACCTAACCTAACCTAACCTAGCTTTTTTGGGCTACCTAACCTAACCTTACCTATAAATATAGGTTAGGTTAGGTTAGGTAGGGTTGGTTAGGTTCGGTCATATATCTACGTTAATTTTAACTCCAATAAAAAAAATTGACCTCATACATAGAGAAAAGGGTAGCTTTATCATTTCATAAGAAAAAAATTATAGTAAATATATTAATTCAGGAAAACTTGGCTTATTAGGCAAATCGGGCCTTGAATAGTAGGCTGAGAAGTGAGTTCTGGCTACTAGGTACGACATATATATATATATATATATATATATATGTCGTACCTAGTAGCCAGAACTCACTTCTCAGCCTACTATGCAAGGCCCGATTTGCCTAATAAGCCAAGTTTTCATGAATTAATGTTTTTTTCGTCTACCTAACCTACCTAACCTAACCTAACCGAGCTTTTTTTGGCTACCTAACCTAACCTTACCTATATATATAGGTTAGGTTAGGTTAGGTAGGGTTGGTTAGGTTCGGTCATATATCTACGTTAATTTTAACTTCAATAAAAAAAATTGACCTCATACATAGTGAAAAGTGTAGCTTTATCATTTCATAAGAAAAAAATTATGGTAAATATATTAATTCAGGAAAACTTGGCTTATTAGGCAAATCGGGCCTTGAATAGTAGGCTGAGAAGTGAGTTCTGGCTACTAGGTACGACATATATATATATATATATATATATATATATATATATATATATATATATATATGTCGTACCTAGTAGCCAGAACTCACTTCTCAGCCTACTATTCAAGGCCCGATTTGCCTAATAAGCCAAGTTTTCCTGAATTAATATATTTACTATAATTTTTTTCTTATGAAATGATAAAGCAACCCTTTTCACTATGTATGAGGTCAATTTTTTTTTATTGGAGATAAAATTAACGTAGATATATGACCGAACCTAACCAACCCTACCTAACCTAACCTAACCTACATATATAGGTAAGGTTAGGTTAGGTAGCCAAAAAAAGCTAGGTTAGGTTAGGTTAGGTAGGTTAGGTAGACGAAAAAACATTAATTCATGAAAACTTGGCTTATTAGGCAAATCGGGCCTTGCATAGTAGGCTGAGAAGTGAGTTCTGGCTACTAGGTACGACATATATATATATATATATATATATATATATATATATATATATATATATATATATATATATATATATATATATATATATATATATATATATATATATATATATGTCGTACCTAGTAGCCAGAACTCACTTTTCAGCCTACAATGCAAGGCCCGATTTGCCTAATAAGCCAAGTTTTCCTGAATTAATATATTTTCTCTAATTTTTTTCTTATGAAATGATAAAGCAACCCATTTCATTATGTAAGAGGTCAATTTTTTTTTATTGGAGTTAAAATTAACGTAGATATATGACCGAACCTAACCAACCCTACCTAACCTAACCTAACCTATCTTTATAGGTTAGGTTAGGTTAGGTAGCCGAAAAAGTTAGGTTAGGTTAGGTTAGGTAGGTTAGGTAGTCGAAAAGCAATTAATTCATGAAAACTTGGCTTATTAGGCAAATCGGGCCTTGCATAGTAGGCTCAGAAGTGAGTTCTGGCTACTAGGTACGACATATATATATATATATATATATATATATATATATATATATATATATATATATATATATATATATGTCGTACCTAGTAGCCAGAACTCACTTCTCAGCCTACTATGCAAGGCCCGATTTGCCTAATAAGCCAAGTTTTCATGAATTAATATATTTTCTCTAATTTTTTTCTTATGAAATGATAAAGCTACCCATTTCATTATGTATGAGGTCAATTTTTTTTTATTGGAGTTAAAATTAACGTAGATATATGACCGAACCTAACCAACCCTACCTAACCTAACCTAACCTATCTTTATAGGTTAGGTTAGGTTAGGTAGCCGAAAAAGTTAGGTTAGGTTAGGTTAGGTAGGTTAGGTAGTCGAAAAGCAATTAATTCATGAAAACTTGGCTTATTAGGCAAATCGGGCCTTGCATAGTAGGCTGAGAAGTGAGTTCTGGCTACTAGGTACGACATATATATATATATATATATATATATATATATATATATATATATAGTAGCCATATATATATCTATATATATACTATGTCAAGGCCCGATTTGCCTAATAAGCCAAGTTTTCCTGAATTAATATATTTTCTCTAATTTTTTTCTTATGAAATGATAAAGCTACCCATTTCATTATGTATGAGGTCAATTTTTTTTATTGGAGTTAAAATTAACGTAGATATATGACCGAACCTAACCAACCCTACCTAACCTAACCTAACCTATCTTTATAGGTTAGGTTAGGTTAGGTAGCCGAAAAAGTTAGGTTAGGTTAGGTTAGGGTTAGGTAGTCGAAAAACAATTAATTCATGAAAACTTGGCTTATTAGGCAAATCGGGCCTTGCATAGTAGGCTGAGAAGTGCGTTCTGGCTACTAGGTACGTATATATATATATATATATATATATATATATATATATATATATATATATATATATATATATATATATATATATATATATATGTCGTACCTAGTAGCCAGAACTCACTTCTCAGCCTACTATGCAAGGCCCGATTTGCCTAATAAGCCAAGTTTTCATGAATTAATGTTTTTTTCGTCTACCTAACCTACCTAACCTAACCTAACCTAGCTTTTTTGGCTACCTAACCTAACCTTACCTATAAAGATAGGTTAGGTTAGGTTAGGTAGGGTTGGTTAGGTTCGGTCATATATCTACGTTAATTTTAACTCCAATAAAAAAAATTGACCTCATACATAGTGAAAAGGGTAGCTTTATCATTTCATAAGAAAAAAATTAGAGTAAATATATTAATTCAGGAAAACTTGGCTTATTAGGCAAATCGGGCCTTGAATAGTAGGCTGAGAAGTGCGTTCTGGCTACTAGGTACGACATATATATATATATATATATATATATATATATATATATGTCGTACCTAGTAGCCAGAACTCACTTTTCAGCCTACAATGCAAGGCCCGATTTGCCTAATAAGCCAAGTTTTCCTGAATTAATATATTTTCTCTAATTTTTTTCTTATGAAATGATAAAGCAACCCATTTCATTATGTAAGAGGTCTATTTTTTTTTATTGGAGTTAAAATTAACGTAGATATATGACTGAACCTAACCAACCCTACCTAACCTAACCTAACCTATCTTTATAGGTTAGGTTAGGTTAGGTAGCCGAAAAAGTTAGGTTAGGTTAGGTTAGGTAGGTTAGGTAGTCGAAAAGCAATTAATTCATGAAAACTTGGCTTATTAGGCAAATCGGGCCTTGCATAGTAGGCTCAGAAGTGAGTTCTGGCTACTAGGTACGACATATATATATATATATATATATATATATATATATATATATATATATATATGTCGTACCTAGTAGCCAGAACTCACTTCTCAGCCTACTATGCAAGGCCCGATTTGCCTAATAAGCCAAGTTTTCATGAATTAATATATTTTCTCTAATTTTTTTCTTATGAAATGATAAAGCTACCCATTTCATTATGTATGAGGTCAATTTTTTTTATTGGAGTTAAAATTAACGTAGATATATGACCGAACCTAACCAACCCTACCTAACCTAACCTAACCTATCTTTATAGGTTAGGTTAGGTTAGGTAGCCGAAAAAGTTAGGTTAGGTTAGGTTAGGTAGGTTAGGTAGTCGAAAAGCAATTAATTCATGAAAACTTGGCTTATTAGGCAAATCGGGCCTTGCATAGTAGGCTCAGAAGTGAGTTCTGGCTACTAGGTACGACATATATATATATATATATATATATATATATATATATATATATATATATATGTCGTACCTAGTAGCCAGAACGCACTTTTCAGCCTACTATGCAAGGCCCGATTTGCCTAATAAGCCAAGTTTTCATGAATTAATTGTTTTTCGACTACCTAACCTACCTAACCTAACCTAACCTAACTTTTTCGGCTACCTAACCTAACCTAACCTATAAAGATAGGTTAGGTTAGGTTAGGTAGGGTTGGTTAGGTTCGGTCATATATCTACGTTAATTTTAACTCCAATAAAAAAAAATTGACCTCATACATAATGAAATGGGTAGCTTTATCATTTCATAAGAAAAAAATTAGAAAAAATATATTAATTCAGGAAAACTTGGCTTATTAGGCAAATCGGGCCTTGCAGAGTAGGCCAAAAAGTGAGTTCTGGCTACTAGGTACGACATATATATATATATATATATATATATATATATATATATATATATATATATATATATATATATATATATTTATATATATATATATATATATATATATGTTAGTATATTTTGGTAGCAGTCTTTCCTGTAGACATATATTATTAAATATGACCGAAAAAGTAAGATTAATAATTCTAACGCGAATTTTCTCAATATTTCTTATGTTTCTTTTCACTGTTGATGGTAATTGAAAAATCATTTCTCCAAAATTCATTTTTATTTCTAGTCTGACGCGACACTTGAACGCGTTTCGTAATAACTTATTGCATTTTCAAAGACTTTTAGTTTACACACACACAACTATAACCTGCAAACACTAAACAGAGTTCTTACTATGCTATGATTTAAACAGCTTTCATTTTATTTTATACCCGCAGTTTGGGTATCTTGAAGTGGGTATTCTACCCACTTCAAGACTCCGCTCCAATATAGAAGCATCAAGAAATATGGGCCAATAGGCCCTCCGCAGTTACTTCCATTCTTACCTTCAATTTACCCAATTAATACCCATTGTTGCGTGTTCTATCCTGTGTTGAAAGTTTTGTTCACCTCATCCAAAACTGTTGTAGCATATCACCTCACCCAAACTGCGGGTATAAAATAAAATGAAAGCTGTTTAAATCACAGCATAGTAAGAACTCTGTTTAGTGTTTGCAGGTGTAGTTGTGTGTGTGTGTAAACTAAAAGTCTTTGAAAATTTGTCTTTCAAATTTGTGTTTGTCTTTCAGACAAACTGAAGGAATGGTCGAACAAATGGTTGTTAGAGTTTAACCCAACCAAATGTAATGTAATGAAGATAGGTGTAGGGAGCAGGAGGCCAGATACAAGGTATCATCTGGGAGAGGAAATTCTTCAGGAGTCAGAGAAAGAAAAAGATTTGGGAGTTGATATCACACCAGACCTGTCTCCTGCAGCACATATCAAGAGGATAACATCAGCGGCATATGCCAGGCTGGCCAACATACGAACGGCATTCAGAAACTTGTGTAAAGAATCATTCAGAACTTTGTATACCACATATGTCAGGCCAATCCTGGAGTATGCAGCCCCAGCATGGAGTCCACATCTAGTCAAGGATAAGACTAAACTGGAAAAGGTTTAAAGTTTGCCACCAGACTAGTACCCGAGCTGAGAGGTATGAGCTACGAGGAGAGACTACGGGAGTTAAACCTCACTTCGCTGGAAGACAGAAGAGTTAGGGGGGACATAATCACCATATTCAAGATTCTGAAGGGAATTGATAGGGTAGATAAAGACAGTCTATTTAACACAAGGGGCACACGCACAAGGGGACACAGGTGGAAACTGAGCGCCCAAATGAGCCACAGGGACGTTAGAAAGAACTTTTTTAGTGTCAGAGTGGTTGACAAATGGAATGCATTAGGAAGTGATGTGGTGGAGGCTGACTCCATACACAGTTTCAAGTGTAGATATGATAGAGCCCAATAGGCTCAGGAACCTGTACACCTGTTGATTGACGGTTGAGAGGCGGGACCAAAGAGCCAGAGCTCAACCCCCGCAAGCACAACTAGGTGAGTACCCACACACACACACACACAGTGTGTTCATTCAGGCAAGCCAACCACATTGTAATTTATTGCACAATATTTCAAAATTAATGATTAAAGTATGAATTTTTTTTAATGCAGACATAATTAGTATCAACATTAAACAGTTTTTAAATTAAGACGAAGTATTACCGAGGGAGAGTAGTTCCGCGGTGATAGCCTTGCCAATACCTGTAGCTCCTCCTGTCACCAGAGCCACCTTGCCCCTAAACAGCCCTGGAGCGAATATTGACATCTGGGGAAAAGAGAACTTCTCATATAGTATTTATATCCCTTAAAATTTCTGCACTATGTTTCATGATAAATTTATGTATAAAAATATGCACTTTACCCTGCCAGTAGCTGGAAAGGTGACCATGTGATAAGATTCTCATTATTGTCCAGGGACATTCGAGTTATGGATGTGTATATAGTGTACATTAGTTTATATCAGTCTTTTATATTGTATTCTCATTCTCAGATATTCATATTATGTTATCATGACTTTCTCTTAGGGAAACACTTCAATATCAACTAACCCAACAAGAGAGACTTTAACAAACCACAGTCTATCTCCAGATTGGTATACTATACTGTACTTAATATGCTAACTTGAGGCCCTGTCCCCTAGGCCAACTCTATTAATTTGGAAACCTTAGTATTATTCACAAATTTACTGCCTCTGCTATTATATCAGTGAAAATCACCACTTTGAAAATTACTAAATGAAACAAAATAAGAGATGGCTGCAGTTAATTTCAAATTTATTAAAGACCATTAAAGTGAACTTCTCTATAAAGAGAGAAAGGTACTTGCAGAAGTGAAGAATCAGTTACAGTATATGAAAACTGGACAACTATACTTTAAAACAGGGTTACAGTTACTTCAAAGTGGTCAGGTTCACTTCAAAGTGAGAGGATTAGTTTGGCAAGAGCAAGATTTATATAAGAATTACTAATGATTACTCCACACAATGATGGAGTAGAAACAGAGATATGCAAGTACCTAATCAAGGACAGTATAATGTACTATATACATACAGATAATCTTATTACTGTATACTAAATCAGCACTTAAAAGAACTTTTTAAATGCATAATATAACAACAAATGCTACATCATGCCAGGATACTGGATAATTAAATCTTAATTTACCATTGCATTCCTACCTCATCCCAGGATTTTGAAAACTATAAAAAGATTGGCAATGATAAGACTAGGTTATAAACTGTTAATAAGGCCGGTGTAATAAAAGGACTGGAAATAATAATGGCAGGGGTCAATAAAGGCTGGGTAGTAAAGACGTCTGAGCAATAAGGGAAAAGACGGGCACCATGAGAGGCGCCCGTCTTTTTGGGTAGTGTCGTTGAGTTCGTTGAGTCAAAGTTCTTATGGCAAGTGCAGCATGTGAAAATGCTAAGCAAGTTTTCTTAGGCAAAAGCTTTCTTTTGCAAACGGAGTGGTAGATGGTTGGAACATGTTAAGTGAGGTGGTGGTGGAGGCCAAAACCATCAGTGCAGTAGTTTCAAAGCGTTATATGACAAAGAGTACTGGGAAGACGGGACACCACAAGCGTAGCTCTCATCCTGTAACTACACTAAGGTAATTACTAAATGCATAGCATTTCAGTTAAGTCCTTAATCTAACACATAAGGTATGATGAATAGGTACATTGCAGCAAAATTTAAGTTTAACATAATAACTACAATATAAGTTGATGGGGATGATTACGCTGGTGAAGATACATGTTTTAAGTACTGTACTAATATTGGGGGAGTGGGTTGCACAGGATACAGTGTGAGTTTGAACACAAGGTAGTAAACTACGAGGATGAAATTAGGTACTTTTTTCTTTTACTTTTGAATAAGGTATTAGTTGGAATTGTTTTTAGTTCATTAGGGAGTGAGTTCCATACACTGCATTCTTTTATTTCCACAGAGTGTTTGTGCAGATTTGACTGAAACACCACTGGTGTGTTAGTGGCTTTACAAGAATGTAAGAACACCAGTGTTATGTGCTCTCTCAACCCAATGTATCTTCTTAAGTAAAATAAAATAATATAAATAAAATAAAGTAAATAAAATAAAGTAAATAAAATAAATTAATAAATATTCTCTTGTGTCAACTACATTTACAAAACCCTGTTCTCAAATGCAAATCCTGCTCTGAAACTCTCCCTGGACAGATGTAATAGGACCCATTATCACCACACCAGAAATAAATATATCTTTGATATCCCCAGAGTCAAACTTAATCTGTGTAAACACACTATGCAAATAAAGGGACCCAGTTTATGGAACTCACTCCTTAGTGAAGTGAAAAGCTGTCCAACTTTTGCATCATTCAAAAACAATACTAAAAAGTACCTAATTTCATCTTCATAGTTTTTTACCTTTTGATTTAAAACTGCACTGTATCTATTGCTACCCAATCTCCCAATCTTTATATACCCAATCTGAACATCTTTACCATTGTGATCATTGCTGTCTTCTTATATGTGCTATCAATCTGCTGTATGGTGTCTATTAATCTTGTTTAAATTACCAATCAAGCTGTCAATGTAATCAATCAGAGCTTTAATATACCAATGTGCTTTAATATACTTACTAAGCTCTCTCATCTCATTTTTTTTCTTGCAATGTATCTGTTATCATTTTATTAATTCTGTTAGAATTTACCTACTTAAAATTATCTGTTAGATTAAGGACCTGCCCGAAACGCTGCGCGTACTAGTGGCTTTACAAGAGTGTAAATACTATGCTATGTATTCTCACAAACCCAATGTATCTTCTTGTATTTAAATAAATAAATAAATAAATAAAGTTTAAGAATATTAAGAGATATTTGGCAAATCATTAATGTATATAAGAAATAGGAGAGGCCCTAAGATGCTGCCCTTTTGACACTCCTTCAGTTAATGGTAGAGTAGGGGAGGTTATGTCATTGATGGCTACATATTAGTGTCTGTCACTAAGATATGATTGAATATAGTTCAGAGCAAGACCTTGGATTCCTTGGCGGTGAAGTTTAATTAAGAGGTAGTCATGGTTTACAATATCAAAGGCATTTCTCAGGTCAATGAAGAAGCCAATTTGGAACTCATTTTTGTGAAGGGCTGTGTAGGGTATATCAAGCAGACTGATAATGACATCGTTGGTACTCTTTTGGGAACAGAAGCCAAACTGGCAGGGACTTAATATGTTGAGCTTTACAAGGAGAAGAGCATTTTGTAAATAATATTTTCAAACATTTTTGACAGTATTGGTAGATTTTATATTGGTCTGTAATTATTTATGTCAACTGTCTCACCTCCTTTATGAACTGGCATTACTCTTGCTTTTTTAAGGATATCAGGAAAAGTATGACACACTAGAGATTTGTTGAATAGCAGTTATGGGGTGGTGCAAGAGCCTGAGTGGCACTCGTATATACCATAGTTGTAATTACCTAAGTGTAGTTACAGGATGAGAGCTACGCTCATGGTGTCCCATCTACCCAGCACTCTTTGTCATATAACGCTTTGAAACTACAGAAGGTTTTGGCCTCCACCATCTTCTCACTTAACTTGTTCCAACCGTCTACCACTCTGTGAAAGTTAATTTTCTTATATTTCTTCGACATCTTTGTTTAGTTAGTTTAAATCTATGACCTCTTGTTCTTAAAATTCCAGGTCTCAGGAAATCTTCCCTATCGATTTTATCAATTCCTGTTACTATTTTGTACGTAGTGATCATATCACCTCTTTTTCTTGTCTTCTAGTTTTGGCATATTTAATGCCCCTAACCTCTCCTTGTAGCTCTTACCCTTCAGTTCTGGGAGCTACTTAGTAGCATGTCTTTGCACCTTTTCCAGTTTGTTGATGTGCTTCTTAAGATATGGGCACCACACAACAGCTGCATATTCTAGCTTTGGCCTAACAAAAGTCGTGAACAATTTCTTTAGTATATCGCCATCCATGTATTTAAAAGCAATTCTGAAGTTAGAAAGTGTAGCATAGGCTCCTCGCACAATATTCTTTATGTGGTCCTCGGGTGACAGTTTTCTATCTAGAACCACCCCTAGATCTCTTTTTTTTATCAGAATAATAATAATAATTTTTATTTAGGCAAAGGTACATACATAAAGAGATTTTACAAAGTTTGTTGGCTTTATAGATAGAGCTAGTACATACAATGCCTAAAGCCACTATTACGCAAAGCGTTTCGGGCAGGAAAAAACACTACTGACTAAAGCTTAAAACTAATGGGTAAAAAGAAAAAAATGCGTTGAGTACAAATAAAAATAGAGGTAAAAGAGGGGGGAACATTGTTGAAAAAACAGCACAAATACAATTACAAATTATTACAGAAAATTACATTCAAACAGCGTTGATTTGTAAAACAAAAAAAAAACAAAAAAAAAAAACATACATGGGTTGACAATAGAGGGGTAAGGTAGGTTACAGGGAATTTATTAGGTATAGCTTCGTTTTTATCTTAAACTGGTTGAGAGAGGTACAGTCTTTAACATGGTTGGGAAGGTCATTCCACATTCTGGGCCCCTTGATTTGTAGAGCATTTCTAGTTTGATTAAGTCGTACTCTAGGAATATCAAAACTGTATTTATTTCTGGTGTGGTGCTCATGGATTCTGTTACAACCTTCTATGAAGCTTTTGAGGTCAGGATTGGCATTACAATTTAGCGTTTTGTATATGTATAGTACACATGAGAGAATGTGCAGTGACTTAATGTCTAACATATTCAGGGATTTGAATAGGGGTAGTCTTTAAAGATTTCTCACGTAATATATAGGTTGTGTGGGGTCTATGTTCTCCTATTCCACATTCCATAACATGGCATTTATTAACATTAAATTCCATTTGCCAAGTGGTGCTCCATATACTTATTTTGTCCAGGTCATCTTGAAGGGCATAACAATCATCTAAGTTTCTTATCCTTCCTCATATGCCACCCACCCATTGTGCCACCCACCCATTGTGCCACCCACCCATTGTGCCACCCACTCATTGTGCCACCCACCCGTATGCCACCCACCCGTATGCCACCCACCCATTGTGCCACCCACCCATTGTGCCACCTACCCATTGTGCCACCTACCCATTGTGCCACCCACCCATTGTGCCACCCACTCGTATGCCACCCACCCATTGTGCCACCCACCCATTGTGCCACCCACTCATTGTGCCACCCACCCGTATGCCACCCACCCATTGTGCCACCCACTGTGTCACCCACCCATTGTGCCACCCACTCATTGTGCCACCCACCCATTGTGCCACCCACCCATTGTGCCACCCACCCATTGTGCCACCCACCCATTGTGCCACCCACCCATTGTGCCACCCACCCATTATGCCACCCACTCATTGTGCCACCCACTCATTGTGCCACCCACTCATTGTGCCACCCACCCATTGTGCCACCCACTCATTGTGCCACCCACCCATTGTGCCACCCACTCATTGTGCCACCCACTCATTGTGCCACCCACTCAATGTGCCACCCACTCATTGTGCCACCCACTCATTGTGCCACCCACTCATTGTGCCACCCACCCATTGTGCCACCCACTCATTGTGCCACCCACTCATTGTGCCACCCACTCATTGTGCCACCCCTTCATTGTGCCCCCCACTCATTGTGCCACCCACTCATTGTGCCACCCACTCATTGTGCCACCCACTCATTGTGCCCCCCACTCATTGTGCCTCCCACTCATTGTGCCACCCACTCATTGTGCCACCCACCCATTGTGCCCCCCACTCATTGTGCCACCCACTCATTGTGCCACCCACTCATTGTGCCACCCACTCATTGTGCCCCCCACTCATTGTGCCACCCACTCATTGTGCCACCCACTCATTGTGCCCCCCACTCATTGTGCCACCCACTCATTGTGCCACCCACTCATTGTGCCCACCCACCCATTGTTTCACCGACCCATTGTGCCACCCACCCGTATACAACCCACCCATCGTGCCACCCACCCATTGTGCCACCCACCCATATGCCACCCACTCATTGTGCCACCCACTCATCGTGCCACCCACCCATTGTGCCACCCACTCATTGTGCCACCCACCCATATGCCACCCACTCATTGTGCCACCCACCCGTATGCAACCCACCCATCGTGCCACCCACCCATTGTGCCACCCACTCATTGTGCCACCCACCCGTATGCCACCCACCCGTATGCCACCCACCCATTGTGCCACCTACCCATTGTGCCACCTACCCATTGTGCCACCCACCCATTGTGCCACCCACTCGTATGCCACCCACCCATTGTGCCACCCACCCATTGTGCCACCCACTCATTGTGCCACCCACCCGTATGCCACCCACCCATTGTGCCACCCACTGTGTCACCCACCCATTGTGCCACCCCACTCATTGTGCCACCCACCCATTGTGCCACCCACCCATTGTGCCACCCACCCAATGTGCCACCCACCCATTGTGCCACCCACCCATTGTGCCACCCACCCATTATGCCACCCACTCATTGTGCCACCCACTCATTGTGCCACCCACTCATTGTGCCACCCACCCATTGTGCCACCCACTCATTGTGCCACCCACCCATTGTGCCACCCACTCATTGTGCCACCCACTCATTGTGCCACCCACTCATTGTGCCACCCACTCAATGTGCCACCCACTCATTGTGCCACCCACTCATTGTGCCACCCACCCATTGTGCCACCCACTCATTGTGCCACCCACTCATTGTGCCACCCACTCATTGTGCCACCCACTCATTGTGCCACCCACTCATTGTGCCCCCCACTCATTGTGCCACCCACTCATTGTGCCACCCACTCATTGTGCCACCCACTCATTGTGCCCCCCACTCATTGTGCCTCCCACTCATTGTGCCACCCACTCATTGTGCCACCCACCCATTGTGCCCCCCACTCATTGTGCCACCCACTCATTGTGCCACCCACTCATTGTGCCACCCACTCATTGTGCCCCCACTCATTGTGCCACCCACTCATTGTGCCACCCACTCATTGTGCCCCCCACTCATTGTGCCACCCACTCATTGTGCCACCCACTCATTGTGCCACCCACTCATTGTGCCCACCCACCCATTGTTTCACCGACCCATTGTGCCACCCACCCGTATACAACCCACCCATCGTGCCACCCACCCATTGTGCCACCCACCCATATGCCACCCACTCATTGTGCCACCCACTCATCGTGCCACCCACCCATTGTGCCACCCACTCATTGTGCCACCCACCCATATGCCACCCACTCATTGTGCCACCCACCCGTATGCAACCCACCCATCGTGCCACCCACTCATTGTGCCACCCACCCGTATACAACCCACCCATCGTGCCACCCACCCATTGTGCCACCCACCCATATGCCACCCACTCATTGTGCCACCCACCCTTATGCAACCCACCCATCGTGCCACCCACTCATTGTGCCACCCACCCGTATGCAACCCACCCATCGTGCCACCCACTCATTGTGCCACCCACCCGTATGCAACCCACCCATCGTGCCACCCACCCATATGCCACCCACCCATTGTGCCACCCACCCGTATACAACCCACCCATCGTGCAACCCACCCATTGTGCCACCCACCCGTATGCCACCCACCCATTGTGCCACCCACCCATGTGCAACCCACCCATCTTGCCACCCACCCATTGTGCCACCCACCCGTATACAACCCCCTCATTGTGCCACCCACCCGTTTGCAACCCACCCATCTTGCCACCCACCCATTGTGCCACCCACCCATATACAACCCACTCATTGTGCCACCCACCCATTGTGCCACCCACCCATTGTGCCACCCACCCATTGTGCCACCCACCCGTATACAACCCACTCATTGTGCCACCCACCCATTGTGCCACCCACCCCTTGTGCCACCCACCCGTATGCCACCCTGTAACACGGGGGGTGAGGGGTTCTTATGTTCTCTTCACCCCCTTTACTCTCCCTCTGCCCGTATCTTACTTTTGTTCTCTACCAAGGGACACCAAAACTTTTACTTTTAGCCGACCCCACGCCACGTGGTCTCAAGACGATTTACCTACTTGAGATTCTACAACCCATATGACGTGGACTAGGCTTCTAGCAAAACCCTAGGGTCACCTTTACGCTGCCACCACCAGACCTGCAACACTGAGCAATGATCGAGGTCTGGATCGATCATGCCAATCAATAACTTTGGGGCTTGATCCCCACTAGTAACAGATAACCTTGGATCTTAAGTGTGGAATAAAATCAACGGGAATGATAATCCTGATTCGATGTTAGACTCCGTGCCCAATTCAACTCGGCCTCGTGGGGACCACGTGACAAGGACAAATTCACATAAATATAACACACACATGGAAATCAATAAAAAAAAAACAAATTATTAGCTAATTAATTTATTCCAAAACTAAACAAAATCTAAAAAAACAGATCACTCCCTGATTTGAACACTCCCCGACTTTACATTTAACGGCAATGAGTTGACCTATCCCTATAACACTCTGAGCAACTTTACCTTCTGTAGACCAGCTAGATGTTGGTGCTGTCTTGGGGCCGATGATGGAGGCCACCTGCCCGAATTGCTCCTCCAACCAAACTGTTCTCTCCTCGTCTGGTCTTCCCCCGACCAGAGCATTGTATTGTTCCGCCTCGTTTCTAAGTACTAGCAAAGCTTGAGTTTAACAACTAACCTCTGTTGCACTGAATGATCCAGATTGGTTAAATTATTGTAACTGAAGTTAAATTATGCAAGCATCTTAAGGAAGAGCTATTCCCAATTACAAAATGGTTATTTGACCTTTGAGAAATAGAGGACATGGAACCTCTGGTGACCTATGACCGCCAGATCACTCCGCCTTATAGCCTAGTTCTGGCTCGTGACGTCACTGATAGTGACTTAACTCAAAATCCTAATTAGAATACTCTTGATATTATAAACAGTGATACTATACAATACAATTTGAATACAAAATGAATAAAGGCTAATTTCTCTAAATAAGTGAATACTATAGAATGGTTCATTATACGAAACTATGAACAGAGACGCCAGCCATTTTGTGACTCAGACTTGCTAATCCCCAGAGGAATGCCATTGTTGTGGTCAGGTCCCTACACGAGACTTGTGGAATCTTCTGGATAATTCTTACAACAAACCTAGTTTGTTACAACCCACTCATTGTGCCACCCACCCATTGTGCCACCCACTCATTGTGCCACCCCACCTCATTGTGCCACCCACCCATTGTGCCACCCACTCATTGTGCCACCCACTCATTGTGCCACCCACCCATTGTGCCACCCACCCATTGTGCCACCCACCCATTGTGCCACCCACCCATTGTGCCACCCACCTATTGTGCCACCCATTGTGCCACCCACCCATTGTGCCACCCACTCATTGTGCCACCCACCCATTGTGCCACCCACCCATTGTGCCACCCACTCATTGTGCCACCCACCCATTGTGCCACCCACCCATTGTGCCACCCACCTATTGTGCCACCCACCCATTGTGCCACCCACTCATTGTGCCACCCACCTATTGTGCCACCCACCCATTGTGCCACCCACCCATTGTGCCACCCACCCATTGTGCCACCCACTTATTGTGCCACCCACCCATTGTGCCCCCCACTTATTGTGCCACCCACCCATTGTGCCCCCCACTTATTGTGCCACCCACCCATTGTGCCCCCCACTTATTGTGCCACCCACCCATTGTGCCCCCCACTTATTGTGCCACCCACTCATTGTGCCACCCACCCATTGTGCCACCCACTTATTGTGCCACCCACCCATTGTGCCCCCCACTTATTGTGCCACCCATTCATTGTGCCACCCATTCATTGTGCCACCCACTCATTGTGCCCCCCACTCATTGTGCCACCCACTCATTGTGCCCCCCACTCATTGTGCCACCCACTCATTGTGCCCCCCATTCATTGTGCCACCCACTTATTGTGCCACCCACTCATTGTGCCCCCACTCATTGTGCCCCCCCACTCATTGTGCCACCCACTCATTGTGCCCCCCACTCATTGTGCCACCCACTCATTGTGCCTCCCACTCATTGTGTCACCCACTCATTGTGCCACCCACTCATTGTGCCACCCACTCATTGTGCCACCCACTCATTGAGCCACCCACTCATTGTGCCACCCACTCATTGTGTCACCCACTCATTGTGCCACCCACTCATTGTGCCACCCACATTGTTCATTGTGCCACCCACTCATTGTGCCACCCACTCATTGTGCCACCCACTCATTGTGCCTCCCACTCATTGTGCCACCCACTCATTGTGTCACCCCACTCATTGTGTCACCCCACTCATTGTGTCACCCACTCATTGTGCCACCCACTCATTGTGCCACCCACTCATTGTGCCCCCCACTCATTGTGCCACCCACTCATTGTGCCACCCACTCATTGTGCCACCCACTCATTGTGTCACCCACTCATTGTGCCTCCCACTCATTGTGCCACCCACTCATTGTGTCACCCCACTCATTGTGTCACCCCACTCATTGTGTCACCCACTCATTGTGCCACTCACTCATTGTGCCACCCACTCATTGTGCCCCCCACTTATTGTGCCACCCACCCATTGTGCCCCCCACTTATTGTGCCACCCACCCATTGTGCCCCCCACTTATTGTGCCACCCACCCATTGTGCCCCCCACTTATTGTGCCACCCACCCATTGTGCCCCCCACTTATTGTGCCACCCACCCATTGTGCCCCCCACTTATTGTGCCACCCACCCATTGTGCCCCCCACTTATTGTGCCACCCACCCATTGTGCCCCCCACTTATTGTGCCACCCACCCATTGTGCCCCCCACTTATTGTGCCACCCATTGTGCCCCCCACTTATTGTGCCACCCACCCATTGTGCCCCCCACTTATTGTGCCACCCACCCATTGTGCCCCCCACCCATTGTGCCACCCACCCATTCTGCCCCCCACTTATTGTGCCACCCAATCATTGTGCCACCCACCCATTGTGCGACCCACCCATTGTGCGACCCACCCATTGTGCCACCCACTTATTGTGCCACCCACCCATTGTGCCCCCCACTTATTGTGCCACCCATTCATTGTGCCACCCACCCATTGTGCCACCCACCCATTGTGCCACCCACTCATTGTGCCACCCACTCATTGTGCCCCCCACTCATTGTGCCCCCCACTCATTGTGCCCCCCATTCATTGTGCCACCCACTTATTGTGCCACCCACTCATTGTGCCCCCACTCATTGTGCCCCCCACTCATTGTGCCACCCACTCATTGTGCCCCCACTCATTGTGCCCACCACTCATTGTGCCACCCACTCATTGTGTCACCCACTCATTGTGCCACCCACTCATTGTGCCACCCACTCATTGTGCCACCCACTCATTGTGCCACCCACTCATTGTGCCACCCACTCATTGTGTCACCCCACTCATTGTGCCACCCACTCATTGTGCCACCCACTCATTGTGCCACCCACTCATTGTGCCACCCACTCATTGTGCCACCCACTCATTGTGTCACCCACTCATTGTGCCTCCCACTCATTGTGCCACCCACTCATTGTGTCACCCACTCATTGTGTCACCCCACTCATTGTGTCACCCACTCATTGTGTCACCCACTCATTGTGCCACCCACTCATTGTGCCACCCACTCATTGTGCCACCCACTCATTGTGCCCCCCACTCATTGTGTCACCCACTCATTGTGTCACCCCACTCATTGTGTCACCCACTCATTGTGCCACCCACTCATTGTGCACCCCACTCATTGTGTCACCCCACTCATTGTGTCACCCACTCATTGTGCCACTCATTGTGCCACCCACTCATTGTGCCCCCCACCCATGTGCCACCCACTTATTGTGCCACCCACCCATTGTGCCCCCCACCCATTGTGCCACCCACCCATTGTGCCACCCACCCATTGTGCCACCCACTTATTGTGCCACCCATTCATTGTGCCACCCACCCATTGTGCCACCCACTTATTGTGCCACCCACCCATTATGCCCCCCACTTATTGTGCCACCCATTCATTGTGCCACCCATTCATGTGCCACCCACTCATGTGCCCCCCACTCATTGTGCCACCCACTCATTGTGCCCCCCACTCATTGTGCCACCCACTCATTTTGCCACCCACTCATTGTGCCACCCACTCATTGTGCCCCCCACTCATTGTGTCACCCACTCATTGTGCCACCCACTCATTGTGCCACCCACTTATTGTGCCACCCACTCATTGTGCCCCCACTCATTGTGCCACCCACTCATTGTGCCACCCACTCATTGTGCCACCCACTCATTGTGCCACCCACTCATGTGCCCCCCACTCATTGTGCCCCCCACTCATTGTGCCACCCACTCATTGTGCCACCCACCCATTGTGCCACCCACTCATGTGCCACCCCACTCATTGTGCCCCCCACCATTGTGCCACCCACCATATGCCACCCACTCATGTGTCACCCACTCATTGTGCCACCCACCCATTGTGCCACTCACCTATATGCCACCCACCCATATGCCACCCACCCATATGCCACCCACCTATATGCCACCCACCCATATGCCACCCACCTATATGCCACCCACCCATATGCCACCCACCCATATGCCACCCACCCATATGCCACCCACCTATATGCCACCCACCCATATGTCACCCACCCATATGCCACCCACCCATTATGCCACCCACCTATATGCCACCCACCCATATGCCACCCACCCATATGCCACCCCCATATGCCACCCACCCATATGCCACCCACCCATATGCCACCCACCCATATGCCACCCACCCATATGCCACCCACCTATATGCCACCCACCTATATGCCACCCCCATATGCCACCCACCTATATGCCACCCACCTATATGCCACCCACCCATATGCCACCCACCCATTGTGCCACTCACCTATATGCCACCCACCCATATGCCATCCACCCATATGCCACCCACCTATATGCCACCCACCTATATGCCACCCACCCATATGCCACCCACCCATATGCCACCCACCCATATGCCACCCACCCATATGCCACCCACCCATATGCCACCCACCCATATGCCACCCACCCATATGCCACCCACCCATATGCCACCCACCCATATGCCACCCACCCATATGCCACCCACCCATATGCCACTCACCTATATGCCACCCACCCATATGCCACCCACCTATATGCCACCCACCCATATGCCACCCACCTATATGCCACCCACCCATATGCCACCCACCTATATGCCACCCACCTATATGCCACCCACCCATATGCCACCCACCCATATGCCACCCACCCATATGCCACCCACCCATATGCCACCCACCCATCCATATGCCACCCACCCATATGCCACCCACCCATATGCCACCCACCCATATGCCACTCACCTATATGCCACCCACCCATATGCCACCCACCCATATGCCACCCACCTATATGCCACTCACCTATATGCCACCCACTCATTGTGCCACCCACCTGTATACCACCCACCCATTGTGCCACCCACCCATATGCCACCCACCTATATGCCACCCACCTATATGCCACCCACCCATATGCCACCCACCCATATGCCACCCACCTATATGCCACCCACCTATATGCCACCCACCCATATGCCACCCACCTATATGCCACCCACTCATTGTGCCACCCACCTGTATACCACCCACCCATTGTGCCACCCATATATGCCACCCACCTATATGCCACCCACCTATATGCCACCCACCCATATGCCACCCACCCATATGCCACCCATATGCCACCCACCCATATGCCACCCACCCATATGCCACTCACCTATATGCCACCCACCTATATGCCACCCACCTGTATACCACCCACCCATTGTGCCACCCACCTATATGCCACCCACCCATTGTGCCACTCACTCATTGTGCCACCCACCTATATGCCACTCACTCATTGTGCCACCCAGCTATATGCCACCCACCCATTGTGCCACCCACCCATTATGCCACCCACCTATATGCCACCCATCCATTGTGCCACCCACCTATATGCCACCCACCTATATGCCACCCACTCATTGTGCCACCCACTCATTGTGCCACCCACCTATATGCCACCCACTCATTGTGCCACCCACCTATATGCCACTCACTCATTGTGCCACCCACCTATATGCCACTCACTCATTGTGCCACCCACTCATTGTGCCACCCACCTAAAATATAAATATATAAAATATATAAAAATATATAAAATATAAATCTAACATTATGTTTGTAACTTTGCATCTATGTATGTACTTTTCCTGAATAAAATATTATTATTATTATTATTTCGGGTCTGTCTAATTACCCAGCTGGTATATCAGCCTTCTGTACCTACCTAACCTAACCAACCTACCCAAACCTAACCTAACCTAACCTATCCAAACCCAACTTAATATAACTTGTAGGCAACAATATATCTTGGATAAGTCGCTCCACATCATTGTTCCTTGGACTGTCTACTTCCTATGGCCTCTCATGCCACTTGGTTTTCGTCTAATTTCGTTATAAACTTATATTATTTCAGAGTAAAAATATGTGTTTTCATGTTCTACTTTCAGCACCAACATTAAAGTGAGTAAATATATCATATTTCTTCATTACTGACGTAATACTAGCAAGCTTGGGTAGCTTTGAGTAGATTTGGATAGCTTTGGGTAATTAGAGTGACCGACCCTGTCATCTGAAGCTGATCAGAATTCCATTTCACCTTAGTAAAGGTGAACATTAAATGCACATTAATGACACTATGTAAAAGACACCGAACACTTTATGTAGGGTATACGTATGTTACGGCCCTCTCGGGACGCAACAGGGTTCTCACTCTGATGTTGTTAGAGGAAGATATATGTATCCGTTCCCAAGCCAGTAGTGGCTATCAAGGGATGAGATCCGTGACGCAAGTAACTTAAAAGGGAGTAGGGAAAGAAAGTTAAGAACTTAATATTATAATGTTCACCATCACCGATTAAATATATATTATAAAAGAGTACACAAGGGGGAGGGTATTAACACTTTACAAGGGGATCGTGCACAATCTAGTCTTCTGCTGAAGACTCTTGATCAATAAGCTAGGTGCTGAGTCCGCGGTGCTTTCTTCGTGGCCTCAAGACGTGTCTTCTGAGAATACCGAGCCTACCCTGGCCACAGGTCAGCCAAAACACAGGTCCACTGGGGGCACCGTCGTGGAGGCCGTCAACCACACGTCCAGCAGGTCTGCTGGCAGGTACTGAGCCACCAAGGCTGGTACGGCCACTCCACGAACGATATAAGAGGTACGCCCTAGACAGGAGTCTCGTGTGATATCACCAATCACCCTCCTGTCCTCAATACCCCAGTGGATTATCGTCTCCAACCGTCGGTCCCGGGTAAATCCTTTCACTGCCACTCCACTGGCAGGCTAACACACCACAGTGTTCTTCCGGGGGGACGACGTCACAACAGCTGCAGCAAACTTCACCGTATGGAGACTGGCTGCCTCGGGTAGACTGACTCCACTCCCATCACAGTTGTCCCAGGTCGACTCTGTAAGCAGACACGTCATCAATAACTGGGACACTAATACATCTCACTTACAGGCTCAGATACTAACACCTGACGTATCCAGTCCATAGATGGCGCTGTCGTCGGAGCACCACCTCACCAGAGGTCGGGAGCGGCGGTGTTGAGCGCTGAACCAGACTGGAAACTGGTCCTCGAGGCCAGTACACGCTGTCCTCACTAGGTGTCGTCGTCCGTTTGGCAGGGGTTTCGGGAGCTGACCCACAGATGGCGTGGTTGTCACTGCTCCTTGCTCGGACGCTGGATCCGGATTCGTAACAACGTAAATGTATTTATGTATTTGTGTATGTAGCTTAGCCTAGCTTTTTAACAGCACTACAATCACCTTCTGTGGTTGATTGTTCAATAAATCCGTGAACTATATGTTTAACAAATCTCTAACCCTGTCCATGGAGGACAAAAGAAATTGTATATATGCTGGTTAGCATTGTAAATGTGTGGCCACATCTGTGGTAGAATAAAAAATCAAAACATACCAGATATGTTAAGATTAAGGCTCCGTGAGAAGCACTGCGTGTTAGTGGCTGTGTGATAAGGTACAAACACCAGTCTTATGTAACCTCACTCACCCATTGTTCCTTCTCCTCAAGTATTATTCCATGTCTTACTTTAGAAAAAAATGCTGTTTGTTGACCAACTTGTATATTGGCTATTTTCTACCATGTTCCCCCCTTATTTTATCTTTTATTATTTTTATTCTTTCAACGCAATTTATACTTTAAGCTCAATTACTATTAAGTTTTAGTCTAAGTGTTTTTCCCCACCTCACCTTGCCCGAGACGCTATACGTACTGGCGGCTGTAGGTATTGTATGTACTAGCTCTGTCTTAAAGTACTAGTGGCTTTAGGTATTGTATGTACTAGCTCTATCTTTAAATCCTACATTATGTTTGTATCGCATCCTCAATGTATGTATCTTTACCTGAATAAAAAATCTAATCTAATCTATTCTAAAATTAGTCAAGACGATGTAATGTGTTCCTGATATTAAAACAGCCATCTGGCCTTGTTTAATAAGTTAGAAATAATTGTAAGTAATGACTAAACTGACCAGTGAGCGAGTGATGGAGAGGACACTACGCTCCAAGACACGCCTATGATGCCACTAATCAAATGGCCACTGATCAAATGGGCATTGGTCAAATGGGCACTGATCAAATGGGCACTGATCAAATGGGCACTGATCAAATGGGCACTGATCAAATGGCCACTGGTCAAATGGCCACTGGTCAAATGGGCACTGATTAAATGGGCACTGATCAAATGGGCACTGGTCAAATGGGCACTGATCAAATGGGCACTGATCAAATGGACACTGGTCAAATGGGCACTGATCAAATGGGCACTGATCAAATGGGCACTGATCAAATGGGCACTGATCAAATGGGCACTGATCAAATGGGCACTGATCAAATGGGCACTGATTAAATGGGCACTGATCAAATGGCCACTGGTCAAATGGCCACTGGTCAAATGGGCACTGATCAAATGGGCACTGATCAAATGGGCACTGATCAAATGGGCACTGATCAAATGGGCACTGATCAAATGGGCACTGATCAAATGGGCACTGATCAAATGGGCACTGGTTTAATGGTGTACTACAGTTTCGAATACCGTCAGTTCAGTACACTTTATTTTATTTTATTTTATTTATATATATACAAGAAGGTACATTGGGTTTGTGAGAATACATTGGATAGTACAGTATTTACACTCTTGTAAAGCCACTAGTACGCGCAGCGTTTCGGGCAGGTTCTTAATCCCTCCTGCACCTTCAAGCACTACTGCCCGCGCTGCCACAAGCAACACCCTGCCTACTGCCCGTGCCCCCAGGCCAAACCTCGAGTCGCCACCGCCAAGGAGAATCGTTCCCGTCGCCCCACCCAGGACAAGAGCAGGAAGAAAGACACACGTCACAACGCCAGTGGACTCAGACGCATTTGATGCTCTCCTGGTGGGTTACCCCCTCCGGGACTATGTTGTCGGAGGCTTCCGGGGCGGTTTCCTATTCGGTTACGAAGGGGCTCGGACTCCCCTCTCTTCTCGTAACCCCCCAGCAACTACAGCCCTGCCACATATAGTGGGGCCTATGCTCGACAAGGAACTGAGCCTGGGGCGCATAGCGGGCCCCTTCAAGGTCCCCCCATTTGAGAACTTCAAGTGTTCTCCCATAGCCCTGAGAGAGAAGTCTACGCCGGGCAAATACAGGCTCCTGCACAACCTCAGCTACCCCTATACCTCCGAGAGCATGAACGCCAACATCCCGCGGGAGACGACGACAGTGACCTACCAGTCCATCAACGACACGGTGGCCTTGGTGGTCAGACGCTCGCCGGGGGCGCACTTGGCGAAATGCGACATAGCAGAGGCGTTCCGAATCGTCCCGGTCAACCCCAGCGACTACCACCTACTCGGCTTCGCCTACAGAGGGCGGTACTACTACGAGAAAATGCTCAGCATGGGGGCGGCACCCTCCTGCAGGATCTTCGAGACGTTCTCCGACGCCCTGCAATGGATCCTCGCGGAGAAGTTCGGCGTGTGGGATGTCGTGAAGGTGCTGGACGACTTCCTCTTCGTGAGTTCTACCTACAACGAGTGCTTGCGGAGCCTACGGGTGTTCACTGCCCTCTGTGAGCACCTAGGCGTTCCCCTGGCTCCCCACAAGACTGAGGGCCCCCGCCCCTGCCTCACCTTCCTTGGACTTGAAATCGACGCCCGACGTATGGAGACAAGGCTGCCGAACGACAAGAGGACGAAGTACATGGCCTCAGTGGAAGATGCTCTGCGGGCCGAGAGCCTTCCCCTGCGGGACCTGCAGGGGATTATCGGAAAACTGCAATTCGCCACGTCAGTCATACTGGGGGGACGGGCCTTCCTCCGACGACTTCACCCGCTCACACGAGGTGTACAACGTCCCTCACGCCTCTGCCTGCTGGACGCGGAGGCGAAGCTCGACTTGCGAGCCTGGCACACTTTCCTCGGCGCATTCAATGGAATAACGGTTTTTCCACCAGACGGTGGATGGGGGAGCGCCACCGCCCTCGCGATGTGTGCGGACGCCTCATCCAAGGGTTACGGACTCACACTCGGAGCGACCTGGTTCAGGGGTACCTGGCCTATGGACTGGAGCCGGCTCAACATTGCGCTCCTCGAACTTTACCCGTTCTACATGGGGATATCCATCTTTGCAACAGTGTTAGCAAACAAGAGGCTTGTGTGTAGGTCCGACAATGCTGCTGTGGTAAACGTGCTGCAATCTCTGTCCGCCAGGTGCCCCCTCCTCATGCAATTGGTCCGGCCACTGGCAATCCTCCTCCTCACCCATAATATTACGCTTCTTTCATCACACCTCCCGGGCAAGTTAAACGGGGTTTGTGACGCTCTTTCCCGGTTGCAGGTACTGCCGCCCTCGTTCCAGCGAGACGCAGGACTCGCCGAGAAGCCAACCGCAATCCCGAAACACCTCCTGCCCTGCAACTTCACCCTGAAACTGTAAGGACGCTGCTCGACTCCCTGCAGCCCACGACACGGCGAGCGTATCAACATAAGTGGGCGGAGTACGTGGCGTATGTATCGAACGACAGGAGACGGGAGTGTCCCATCGAGGGCTCGTCCACGACACTGGCGAACTTCCTGCAGTCGCTGCTGTCTCGAGGTTTGGCTTTCCGCTCTCTCAGCGCCTACCTTGGGGCAATCGCCTTCATGTTCAAGCTGCACGGTAGGGAGGATCCTACTCGCCAGTTCCTAGTCACACAACTACTTAAGGGAGCGCGCAACAAGGCCCAACGGCTCCCCGCACGACGATTGCCCGTGACCAGACGACTACTGCATCGACTACTGGGGGCCCTGCGAGGTGTCTGCAGCTCGACTTATGGGAAGACCTGCTCTTCTCCCTCGCCTACGCCTGCCTCCGGCCAGGGGAGGTGACCTATACGGGGAAGGGGCAACACACGCTACGCTTGGACCAGTTAACTTTATCGCGGACAGGGATCGACATCGCGTTTGCCTCCTACAAGCACAGTGCAGGGCGTACCCCCACTTTAACCCTGAGTGCAGACCCCTATAGCAAGTACTGCCTGGTCCGTGCCATGGCGAACTACATAAGACGACGGGGCATGGAACCAGGACCTATCTTCCTAGGCGAATCGGGCGCCCCAGTCACCAGACAAGATTTCACATGGGTGCTCCGTGCTGCCGTTCGAGCACTAGGCCTGCCTCCAAACGATTATGCTCCGCACTCCTTCAGAATCGGCAGGGCCACGCAGATGTCCAAGGATGGCCTGGCAACGGCAGCAATCAGAGCAGTCGGCAGGTGGAAAAGTGATGCGTTCCACTCCTATGTCAGGCAAGACGTCATTCCATTACCTAGATAAGTTACTTCTGCGGCCAGCGGGCACCTCGCCCTTCGGGGGGTGGGGGACCGGCTTCGCTGGCGGAGTGGGGGTGCTGCGCCGGATCCCAAAGTCTAGGGCTGCCCGCAGCTACTTAACATATGTCAAGTGCTCTCTTGTAGTGCAAGTTGGGGGTTGCAGACTTTACATGTAAACTAGGCACTAGCATATCATTACCCCTGAAAATTCTTATCTATTCTTTTCTATGCCCTCTGTGTATACAGAATATATTTTATACATACTGTACTGGCTGTGCCACTCAATTCACTCTGGCATTGTTTTTAATTATAGTATTAAGCTGATTGCGAGTACTGCAACATTGCTTCGGCTAGCTGGCACTAGGCACGGTTAATGTCCTACGACTCATTCCCTTAGTTGCATCTTGCAGTACTGGCATTCTCCTCAGTCATGTTACACGACTTCTTTTATTGTGGTACAGCAGTTGCTCTGTAAACATTACTTAATAAATTAAGGTCCCCCCACTCCTGGCTTGTTTTTTCTTCCCGATCAGAAAACAAGATTAATAAACACCATACAGCAGATTGGCAGAACATATAAGAAGACAGCAATGATCACAATGGTAAAGATGTTCAAATTGGGAACATAAAGGTTGGGAGATTGGGTAGCAAGTCGCCAGTCTGTACGTGGGTGTGGGTATCTGGCTGATGATTGGCCGAAGTGGGTTTCCAGGCTTGTGTGTCTTGACATTTCCATACGCATATCCAGGTTTATATTCCCCAATATTCTTTGGCAGGTGGAGTCCGGATTTCTTGGCGTTCACAGTTTCGATCAATTTGTTGAAAGCAAAGGTCAAGACATCTGCAGAAGCTGAAGGAGGCATTTGAGCAGAATTCTGTGTTACGTTTCACTTACGAGATGGAGAAGGATGGGAAGCTGCCCTTTCTAGATGTAACAGTCATGGAAAGGAGCGGAGTTTTCCACACTGCAGTCTACACTAAGGAAACAAACATAGGAATGTGCCTGAATGCCAACAGTGACTGCCCAGACAGGTACAAGAGGAGTGTTGTTAACGCTTATGTCGACCGTGCTCTCAGCCACGGCTCGACGAAGAACTCTGTAGCGTAAGGCAGGTCCTAGTCAACAACGGCTTCTCCAATGGTTTCGTGGAAGACATCATAAGAAGGAAAGTGGAACGCCATGCAACCTCTGAAGAGACAACTAACACAACACCTATACCCCCTATTAGACTATTTTACAGGAACTTCTTTTCCACAGCCCATAAAACGGAGGAAAGGGTCCTGAAAGATATTGTTAGTAGAAACGTTATCCCTACAGACAAAAATCAGAAGATACAACTGACAATTTACTATAAAACCAAAAAAACGGCCAGCCTACTCATGAGAAACTCTCCAGACACAAAACAGAACGCTTTAAACCTCAAACCTATATTGTTTGCTGACGATACTACCCTTATCTATTCAAGCCTCAACCCACATACACTAAATAATGTTGTGAATAATGAATTAAAAAAAGTCCACTTATGGATGTCAACGAACAAACTAACATTAAACATCGAAAAGACTTACTACATCTTATTTGGAAGCAAATCATCAAATGCAATTCAGCTACAGATAGACAACATTAACATCAGTAATAAAAATGATGGCAAGTTTCTTGGCCTATTCCTAGACAAGAGACTCAACTTCAGCACCCACATTCAACACATAACTAAGAAAGTCTCTAAGACAGTTGGTATACTCTCCAAAATCAGATATTATGTTCCTAACTCTGCTCTCCTCTCACTATATTATGCACTAATCTACCCCTATCTTAATTATGGTATCTGTGCATGGGGGTCTACCACTGCAAACCACCTTAAGCCCATCATCACACAGCAAAAATCTGCTATCAGAATAATAACTAACTCTGCTTTCAGACAACACTCAGCTCCCTTGTTTAAATCCCTAAACTTGCTAAATATTAACTCCCTCCACACATTCTCTTGTGTCAACTACATTTACAAAACCCTGTTCTTAAATGCAAACCATGCTCTGAAACTCTCCCTGGACAGATGTAATAGGACCCATTATCACCACACCAGAAATAAATATCTCTTTGATATCCCCAGGGTCAAACTTAATCTGTGTAAACACTCTATGCAAATTAAGGGACCTAATCTATGGAACTCGCTCACTCCCTAGTGAATTGAAAAACTGTAAAACTTTTGCCTTATTTAAAAGCAAAACCAAAAAGTACCTAACTTCATCTTCTTAGTTTCCTACACTGAGCTTTAAATTTGCTCTGTACCTAGTGTTACCCAATCTCCTAATTTTTATGTAATATCAAACAACCTTATCATTGTGTTCATTGCTGTCTTCTTTTATGTGCTAGCCATATGCTGTATTGTGACTACCAATTTTTGTCAACTACCATTCAAGCTGTCATTGCAATCAATCTTATATTGTTTCTGCTGTATTGTGCCTACCAATTTGTTGTCAACTACCATTCAAGCTGTCATTGCAATCAATCTTAGCTACCTATGTGCTTTAATATACTGTACCTACAATTTTCTCTCATCTTTTTTTTTTTTTCATTTCATGTAATCTGTTATCATTTTTTTGTCTATAAATTTTGCAAGTATTTACCTCCTTAAAATTTTCTTAGATTAAGGACCTGCCCGAAACGCTGCGCGTACTAGTGGCTTTACAAGACTGTAATTACCACATTTGTATCCTCACATTCCTTATGTACATTCTTGTATATGCATAAATAAATAAATAAATAAATAAATAAACAAGTGCCATGTATTTATTCAGACGAGAACAACAGCGAACACAAACCAGCGCATATACGAACGGAATGGTTTGTATGTACAAACTTCTCAGTGAACGAAGTTGT